TGTATATTTCCTTTTTTTATTCCATCCCTTCCTCCAATATTTCTTATTTTAAATGACTATGATGTGTACTAAATCTAGTCAGTAAATAAGTTTTGTTAGCTTATCAAAATTGAATTCTTAATTTTAATTATTTCCATATTGGTATCTACTATGTTATTAATTATAAAGTCAGCATTAAAAAAAAATTATCTAATTTGTATTTTATCTGTATGCTCATCAGTTGGTATGATTATAACTCATGAAGGTTATTCTTAGTATGAGTACGTCCCTTACACTGCCTTAAAGTTGTATGCCGAGCAAGTGTCAACTGTATGTTGCTCTTGAAAGATTCACACATTTAGGCAAACTTACATGTTTTAAAAGGCTTAGGTTTATGACTTATTGCAGTGACATCTCTGGAGAAGTAGCTGATGCCTTTCCATAATGATTTATCTTAACCGTATTAGAAAATGAAAAAAGAAAAATTTGGCTGTAGCAGGGCTCTCCAAAATCCAGTCTGTGGAAGTTTCTTTGATTACTTGGTTAAATATTAAAAATTACTTAAAAAGTATGAAATTTAACAAATTACTTTCATACTAGGTTACTAAATTTGTTGCATTTTTTTTTTTTTTCTCTTGGAAAGCTTAGTTCAATACTCGAGCTTCATTTATTGAATAAGATTTATATTTTCATCACAAACTATGGCCCGTGGGACTGGGTTGGAGGTCACAATGCAGCCTGCGGAACTTAGTGGAGGTCTAAATGTGGTATACAGGGCCAAAATTTTTGGAGCCCCTGGGCTGATTAAAAATGAAAAAAATATTTCTCCCTCCCCCCATAGGAATACTTAACTGTAAAATATGACTGATCTAATTGTTTTTCTTCTTTACATACGTTGTAACATCTTCCAAATACCTTTTTATCTTAAATTAAACTGTCAAGGACATCTGTAATAAATACATTCATCCAATTGTATAAATCTGTTTGATATTTGAGGCACCTTTACTTATTTAATTTCAATGCATCATTTATTCGGGAATGTTTAGTTGAGTAAAATACACAGTTCATTGTTGTGTTGTTTTCTTTATGTGGCCAGTGTTTTGATATAAATAATACAATGAAAGATGAAAAAGAAAAGGTCCTTATTTGTTCCAGACAACAAAAATGACTCAGTTTTCTTCTTTTTATATTGCTCTGATAAAGACCTTCAATTATGGCTCAAAATATCTGGGGTATTAGTGGAACAATACAATGTATTGTGTGTGTTAATTTCTTATTCATAAATACTTATGCACTTATTCACTTAACTAGTTTACAGTTTCATTAAAATTACATTGTGTTCTCATTCACTTCACTGCCTTACAGTTTCATTTGCATTAATTGTATGAATTTATTTGTTTAAGTTATATCATATTGTTATAATTTTCTAAACATTTAATTTTTTTTCCTCGATTGCTTGAACAGCAGAAATAGCACCTGAATGAAAAAATAATAATTTGAGTAAATTTTTTTTCATTAATTTTCTGTTTTACTGTTATTCTATATTACAACAATTAACTATTTAATGAGCACTTTAACTTTTTAAATTTTTTAACTTTTTTAACTTTGAATTTGCTCTTCAGGAAATGCATCCTTCCTTCAAAATCAAGTAAATATTTTTATGATTTATATTATTTACAAAAAAAAAAATTTTTTTCCGTTAATTGTTTTCAATAATTAATTTTTGTTATTGACTAAAAAAAAAAAAAAATAATCCCCTACCTCAAAATTTGAGGTTTCACATGGATAGACCACTAAAGTAATGGAAAAAACGGCCTTACCCCAACATTAAGAAAATAAAGATGAAACTTGTCAGAAATTGTTCATTATCCTTCCCATAATAACATGTTTCATTGTTTTGATGATTCTAAGAAGTCATTGACAGCAGAATTATATTCCGCATGAATCAATGGGGAATTTTGTGATATTGAAATAATGTTTAGATTGACATTAATTTCATATAATTGATAATATGTGATAGCAATTAATCAAGGATTGTATGCGATTTTTGTTATAACCACTTAACAACTGTAGATACCACACTTTTTTAAAAACTTCCTTGTTGGATGAGCTTTAAGTCAATATTAGTTATGGAGAAAACAAAGGGAATTTCCATTTTCAGAAAAACAAATGCTCATACTCGAGATGAATAATTCCTCCTTGAGGTAGAATCTCAACTGACTATAACAAACCAAAACTTAATTAACTATAGACTTAAAGCTCATCAAACTAGGAAGTTTTTCTAGAAGTGTGAGATCTCCATTCCAGTTAGGTGGTTATAACAAAAATTGTGAAGAATCCTTGATTTCATGAATATACGAACTTACCATAATTAATTATTATTACCATAAATAATTATTAATTATTATTAAGTGTTTAAACGTTGCGTTAAAATGGTTTCAAAAAAGACAAAATTTACTTGCATTTAATGTAAATTTTATCTAGTTTACTATGAAGTAATTGATTGTGACCTAAATTAAACATTTTTTTTATTCAAGAGAAAACTTGGTTGACATAAAGAAATATAAAATTTAAGTTTTCTGGTTCTCTGTATAAAATCAGTCCATGGTTCATCGTAACATTTTATAGGCTTTGAGGTCTACTATCACATAATATCAATTATATGAAATTAATGTCTATCTAAACTTCATATCAATATCACGAAATACCTCATTCATTGATGTGGAATATAATTCTGTTGTCAATGACTTTTTAGAATCATCCTAACATTGAAACTTAGAATAATAATTTTAATGATCGTAAATGTTTAAAAAAACTAATTAAACTTCAAAATGGTATCATCTACTATGAACACATCATTCTCGTGGTTTGAAGCAAATTTTGCTTAAAGTGGAAATGGAATAAATACAATCTTATAAATATCTCTAACTGTTGATTTTAAAAAAAAAATAATAGGGTATTTTATTTTATAGAGATTTTAAAGTACTTTAATATTGTACTGAACAAATTTTGCATTCGTGTTTTCCAACAAAAACCTCATAGTTAATGAGATATTATCAACAAACTAAAAAAATATCAGTTTTCTGTCCTCTTCCCCCCATCAAAACCTGATGTTGGATTCTTTGGGACTTTTTGCCAGTTATTATTGGCAGGGTAATGAACAATTTCTTACAAGTTTCATCTTTATTTTTTTTAATGTAAAATCAATCCCTAATTTTACTGGACCTAGGATAGCTCTTACTGAAAATGCTTTTCTGAATGGTCATTGTTACTGAAGTTGTGCCTGCCTATTTTTTTTTTTATATGTCCTATCTTATATCTTATTTCATTTTAAGTTAATATTTTCAGTCTAAATGATGTTAATAAATATGATTATTTATGAATATCAAGTTATTTGTTGTATAGGATTGGCAAGGTATAGCTCTTACAATGTTTAGAAGTAGAACTAATTAACAACTGGGTGATGTGTGTTGGTAATTGCTGCAATCAGGTTGCCTGGTTTCTTTGACCATTTTTTGTTTCTTTTTAGTTTGCTTCTCGACTGTTACTTATATTGTATTTACTCTATATTTTTTATTTTAGTATTAGTATTAATAATTTTAATTTAAAGTATATTGACAAAATTTATATATATATTTTTTTATTGTTTCGGTTGGCGCAATAGACCATGTAGATCTTTTGGGAGCATGATGTGGTCTTACAGATATGTGTTGCTTGTGCCTAACCTCACATTGTTGTGGACCATGGTCTCCATGATGCAGCAGCAGGCCTTCCATAACTTCATAGTTGATTCCTGTGGGGCTGATTTGGCAGTACCCTTCCCTCTGTCCTTGCTCGGGTTCAAGGACAGTAGCAAATCACTCGGTTAATCACTACCATGCCCTATATTGACAATATAGCATCATATTTATATTAAGCTGCAATTATTTTAATTGGACGATGGTTATTTGCAGTTCTGTCTTTAGAACAATTTACTTTAATTTTCTATTCTCCATTCGTTTTCTAAAGGTATGCATCCCATGATTTTTTGTGGATTGGGAAACTACAAGCTCTCTTACCAAATCATGAGTTCTTTTCATTAGGTCCATACTTTTCATTTTTTAATTGTTTTTGTATTTGAAATACAAGGGTGGTCTGAAATATTTCCGACCTAACAAAAATACTAGACATTTTTTCTGTATTTTTTTTTTTATTTTTCGACAGTCTCCTTGTAACTCTACACACATCTCCCAGCGATGCTCCCATCTCTGTAACCTGTCCAAAAAGCACTTGGCGTTTTTTTCTGCAAAATAATTGTTCACGAAGGTGATTGCCTCTTCATTTGATGAAAATCTCTGTCATCCGAACGCAATTTTTAGATAAAGGAACAAAAAGAAGTCGCTTGGGGCTAGATCTGGTAAGGCGGATGGTCAAGCAGTTCAAACCGTAATTCATGACATCCCGCTGAGGTGCATTGTCTTAATGAAACAGGATTAGTTTTTTCTACAAATGTGGCCATTTTCTGCAAGGTTGGCCTTCAGCTTGTCAAGTAATGATGTGTAGTATGCTCCTGTAATGGTTTTTATTTTTTGAAGATAGTCGATTAAAATAACTCCATGACTTTCCTAAAAAACAGTCGTCATCACTTTCCTAGCCGAGAAAACAGTTTTTGCTTTTTTGCTTTAGAGCCGGGTCCTCAATAGCAGTCTATTGTATTTATTTCGGTGTACAACGGTGTATCCAAGTTTTATATACAGTAATTAAACAGCGCCAAGATTTGGATTTATTGTGCCTAAACTGCGCCAACAGAATGTTGGAAATGTTCATTCGAACACATTTTTGGTCAAACGTGAGCAAAAGCGAAACCCAACGTGCGGACAGCTTTCTCATATCTAAATGTTGATTTAACATTTAACAAACACGTTCTTTTGACATATTTATAACCTCTGCTATCTCTCTCACTTTAATTCCGCTGTCATCTAGCAACATTTGGTGAACTTTGGCGATGTTTTCGTCGGTAGTTGCAGTTTTGTACGCCCCAAATGTTCATCGTCTCCCAAGCTCTTACGTCCTCAGCTGCCAAAAATTTCAATTCTGTGGTAAATGATGGTGCAGAGTCCCCATACACAGAATCCAACTAATCTTTGATTTGCGTAGGCGTATTGTCTTTCAAAAACCAATATTTAATGACAGCTCGATACTAGGTTTTGGTAATTTTCACAAAAACACTCACATCAACTCACTCTCAAACGACTGTTACATAAAAACTGCGCGTCAAAAATGGCTGAAACTTTGGTGGGTAGCTGTCAACAGATGAACAACGAAATTCACTAGCTTTTATTTACGAATGCTGCCATCTTCACTTTGCGGTCGGAAACTTTTCAGACCATCCTGGACCATCAATTTCACATTAATTTTTTATATAAAAAATAGTTAAATATAAAATATGAAAGAATTTGATCATTAACTAAAGGAGAAATAATAGATCGTAACGGATAACAGTTGTAATGGAGGAACCAAAGGAGTACGAGCGCGCCCGAGCTCACCCGAATGATAGGAACTCCAATATGGACTCCAAAAATATTATGTTCATATACATATGAGGTTTTCATAAATACTATCGTTGGTATTATTTAATATTTAATTGTATAGATTACAGCGAAGTAAATATTAAAATTTGTGTGTGTGTACTTAATAAGAGCACTATGGAATTTTGGAAATATCTATGAACATTATGTTATAATTAATTATACTCAGGAGTTAACTTTTAACTTGTTTATATAATGAAAAATATACTTTTATTCATCAGGAAGTGTTGGCTATTTTTAGTTTTGAATTTCTGAAATTTAACTATCTTATGCTTGTGTGTTTATAGAAAGATGGTTCTGAAGACTCTGCATCGGAAAGTGATAAAGACCAAGGTAACCAAGAAGAATCTGACAATTCTTCCTCTGAAAGTGGTTCAGCCTCAGATAGGTAATCAATTATTCTGAGATAGTAATGTAAATATGCATTTCATGTTTTTTATTATTCTAATTTAAAACTATTTTTAAAGTATTAAAATATCCATATATTTTTTAATATATCAACATCGTAATTTGCCGTATCGAAAAGAGGAAGAGGGTTGACCCTGAGTTATTTTAAAAGAAGGTGAAGGGGGTTGATATTGGGTTATTTTAAAAGAAGGGGAAGAAGTTTAACATTTGGGTATGAATTGTAGTAGCTTAAATAGCAACAATTAAGTATTAATATATTGCTAATTGCTATAAAAAAATTATCAATTAAAAATTTGTTTCATGAAACCAGACCTAAAATTAATCAGGATGAAAGAAAACCTATTAATACTAATTGTTTTTTCATCTCTTCAGCCATCAATCTTCTGAATACATTTAAGAATTAAATATGTTACCAATCTTCTTCTAATGTAATTTCAGTTATTATTTATATTATTTACTGTGTAATTATGTAAACACTTCAGCTAGTCCTTTATTTTAATTTTAATATTACACAACTTTGTAATCTAATTGTTATGTGCCAGACAAATCTAAATGTAATTGCTATTATTCATTTTTATTATTCTTAGGGGACTAAATGTCCCAAAATATAATTGTCTTCTTCTACTAATGACTGAAGATGCTTGAGCGTAGCTAGACATATTCTGGATATGCTGGGTCATGGAGACAATTTTGTTGGCAGTCTCATACTGACTTCAACTTTGACCCCTCTGGTCCCAGGTCACCGAGTAGGGCTAGCTGAGATTCTCATATTCTTCTCACCGATAGATAGCGCTGCTCTGACCACCAATAGTTGGCATAGATTAAAATTATTGTTTGACATTCTCAACAACTGTAATGTCATCATTATATAGTTTAATGCTGTTTATCCGAAATAGGCAGCACTATTCTGAACAATGAAGAATTACCGATAAGAGATGGTATTAAGTAAATAAAAAATTGGTTTGTATCAATAAATAAAAAAATCATTGATATTAATGACAGTAATTAAAGTAATGCATGTTGAAATTTTTTGTTTAATTGAGATTACTACTTCCTTGTTTTACTACACCATTATTTTTCAAGATATGTTTCTTTTCACATTTTTATTTAATGAGGATTCATCTATGTTTATTTTGTGGAGTTATTATGTGGTACTGCCACAATAGCCCAGTAACCTTGTACATCATAAGTTACATTGAATCGGGGTAGAAGGTTCATTTTTATTTTATTTTATGTAATATGACTAAGATACAAAGTTTTCGACCTCAGGCCTTCCCCCCCCATCTCCGGATCTTTTGAATATTCCCAAAACTGTTATATTTTCCCATTTTATCCACCAAGCAGCACATTTTCGACAAAAAACACTATACTTGTTTAAACTACATTAAATACACCATAATTTAAGACCAGAACAGTCTTGGTAGTAAATCAAATAGTTTATGAGATACAGGTTTTCAAAATTTGGAAAATTTTATTTTCCATTTAAATTATTTTTCATGTTTGATGATATAAAATTGTCTTTTGTCGTCAATAACCTGTCTAATATGAGTCAGTGAAGTAAATATTTATTCATTTTAATATTTTGAAGAAAGGGTGATAGATGGGGGAAAGGTTTGGTGGGAGAGGATAGTCCGTGGGCCAGACCCGCCTCCAATGCATCCGCCCCCCACATCACTATAAATTGCATATCGTTGTGTTTCTTTAACTATATTATATATTTAAAAAAATAAGCCAATGTTTCCACCAAAAAAAAAAAGTGGCCGCACTGTCCCAAACATGGCGGATTGACGACTTTGACTTGAGTTTGTTTTTCAGTCACATAGATTCAGCAGTTGGTTCAATTTCAACATAATTGGTCTTTTTTGGAAAGCATAATTTTTTTTTTCAAATAATTGGCTTTGGCAATAAAAAATAATAGTTCAATAATAAAAAAATAATTTTTAAAGTTATTCAAACTAAAGTTGAAAATGAAGTGTTATTTGTAATTAAATGGCCAGCAATAAAAAAAAAAGTCTTAAAATAAAACATCTAGGAAATAAATTAATCTTTCTAAATTACAGAATAATTTTCTACATATTTGCAATGGTTCATTATACAATGCATTTAATCAGTAGAAAAGTGGCATTGGCGTAGACGCCTACTGTCCTCTGCCACCTCATTCGGTTCTCATAAATGCCATAGTTGTGCTATTCTTTTCATCTGTCTAGATAGATAGATAGAAAAACAACTTTATTCTGGGACAGAGTACCTTTAGAATAAAAAATTGTACTAAAAGAAAAGACTACTTCTGGCCTAAAAATTTGAAACAATAAATAAAATTAACAAAAAAACAAAGAAAGTAAAGAAAACCTTGAATGAACAAGCTATATACAAAACAGATAAAGCTATGTACAAAAGACCATAAACTATGAACAAAACATTTATTAACTATTAACAAAACACTTTACTATATATAATGATAGAACAGCATATATATATACACTTCAAGAAATAAAGGAAAAAAAGGGATAAAAAAAATAAATTAAATTCTCATAAAAAAGCTCTAAGTTTTTACTTATAAAAATGAAAGCTGCATCTGGCGGAACATCAGATTCATATGGGTTAGATTAATTTAAACATTTTTAATAAATACGACGATAAGGGGGTAAAAGCATTAATTACACCAAATAATGTTTTCATCAGTTTCTTGTTATATTTTCAAAGATTTTGGATCTTTGGATTTATTCCTTCAAAAAAATAAATTAAATAAATGTTAACTCCACTAACTCTTATAAGACAGAATGAGAATCAGCTTAACTTTTTAAATTTTTGAAAATTTCATTTACAATTTTTGTATGAACCTGATGTAAATGTTTTTTAATTTTTCAATGTCAGTTCTCTGGTTTTGAAAAGTGATCTCTCCCCTCTCCCACCAAACCTTCAACCCTCCTTCAAAATGTTAAAATGAATAACAGTTTACTTCACTGAATCATATAAGACTGAATTGAAGATATAAAGATAATTGCATATGATCAAACATGAAAAATAGCTTACAATTTTCAAGTTTGACAAATTTCACGAAACTTTGAAAACCTTTATCTCAAAACTTACTGAACCTGTTTTAGTTTTAGAATGTTTTTTGTCGAGAACCATCCTCGTGGTCAAAATGGGGATAAAAATGGTAAAAAGTGCAAAAATATAGCAGTTTTTGAAACGTAATCCAGGAGGGGAGGGGGGAGTGTTGGCCAGAAAACTTGTATTTTACATCTCAGTCACATCCCATACAAGAAAAAAATAAATAAACCTACCCCCATTCAATGTAACTTAGACCCTTCTTTTCATGACAAAGTACTGGGGTACGAGGTACACTCAGTTATTTAACAATAAAATACTTCTAACAATGAGTGCTTCTAAAAAACTTTGTAATCCCTACATTTCTAAGAACTGTTATCATCTTCTTAGAAATTGCTTTTCCAACAAATACGTATGTCCCATTTTTATAAGTTCCCCATAATTTGTATAAAGTATGAATCATACTTATTTAAGAAAAAAAATGATGCAAGATACAATCCGATTTCCATGGACATTTATTAAAAATTATAGAACAACTTCACATGTTTTAATTTTTTATAAATGCATCATAAACTGTATAATTACAATTATTAATTGCTGTTAAAAGTATGTGTAATATAGTTTCACATCAGTTTGTTGTGTACAAACACAAAGATATCTAAAGGAAATCAGAAAAAGGAGAAAACTTTGTATAATCTAGGTCCTGGTTATGAAAGTTCCTAATAAGCAGGATTTCCTCATACAAATTGTGTGGTGTTAACACCACAATATTTGTATATTGTTATACAATATTCAATATTAATAATGATGATCATTGATTTCTTGTACTATTTTTTTATCCATAAAAAAACTGTTTTAGTGATTCAGCCTCAAGTGCCTCATCATCTTCAAAATCATCGGACAGTGGATCAGATTATAAGTCTAAGACCTCCAACAGTAGTCGAGGAAAAAATGACATTAAGCAAGTAAGAAATTATACTTAAGTTAATTTGGTGGTAATTATTAAAACAAAACTAATAACTTTATAATTTAATGGCTTAATGGTGTTAATCATGTAAGTTTATAACTTCTGAAAATTGCTTCTAATGATTTATTGTTTTTGTTAAAATTAACTAATAAAAAGTAGTTTTAATTAATTATGGGGTCAAAAATGGTAATTAAGGAGAATGTGGCTGGACACAAACTCACATGATCACACTTTAGGTGGAATTAAAAAAATGTCTGAGTGTTTACGAAAGGGTATTTATAAAAATTTGTATAGAAGCATTAAAAACAATTAGAATAACCACCATAGGCTCATCACCACTATACACAGCAATGTTATATTTAACTACACTGGGTGTCCCAAAATTGGAAACTGTTCACAAGATATCACATAAATGCGCAGAACCAAAGTTGTAGCTCTTATCAAGATCTTTCAGATACCTAATTTTTTAATACGAAAAAATTTAGTTTTAAGGCTTAAGTGCTAGCTCATTTTCTCTTTACCCCAAATTATTAATATATTTTTTAAAACCAATAAAAAAAAAATTAAACTCATGTATTTTAGTTTTACCTAGTATTTTGTCATAAAATTGCAGTCAAATCTTACCCATTTTCAAAGCGTTGACTGAAAAATTAATGTCAACAAAGCAGAAACATGATTCTATCGAATATATATAATTAACCAGTATATAAAGAATTTTTAATAGTAAGAATTTTTTGTAGTATTTCATTGTTTACGTTTGCTTACATTTCTATTGCTCAAAACAAAAAAAAAAAAAAAAAAAATTCAATGTTTTCAGGTTTCATTATTTTTATAAGAATTTTAAATCATGATGTCTTTTATACTTTGTACAAGTTATGTTAGGATGGCTTAGACACGAAAAAAGTTCTTTACTTATAACAGGGTGGTGACAGACTTGGAAAAAGTCAAGGAATTTTTAAAACAGGAAGAAGTCAGGGAATTTTTTAGTTCATATTTTTTTTTTTCAAATTGGAAATAAATATACAGTGGATATCATTTATAATGACATTGACGGGGGTAAACTTCAGTCTTAATGAAAATCAGTCTTAATTTATTTTCGGGCCAACTTGGCTATTCTCTGAAATGTTTAGAATTTCATCTACAGTGTGAGCATGCATACTTCTCCCTAGCTGCCTTATAAATAGTATACATGACCTCTCTAAGTTGCCCATGGTGAAAATTTTTTAAATGGTTATGTCCATCTTTTTAGTTTATTTCAAGATAATAAGCAATTATGAAGTGTTTTATAAAAGAAAATTAATTTAAAAATTCAATTTGTCAGTCAACCTTTTTGCTGTTGATTTTTATGATATATATATATATATATATATATATATATATATATATATATATATATATATATATATATATATATATGATTTTCTATAATTAAGCTCTCTAAATTCTTCATGTTTATTTGGAGTTATTTAATATTTTTTTATTTTAGTGCTGGGAAGAGAATCCTGATGTTTACGGCATACGACGTTCTAACAGACAAAGAAAAGAACCTTCCAGATTGAATACTGGAGATAGTGATTCGAGTGAAAAGAATAAACGTTTTGTGAAGAGATCTTCGCCTAAATCGTTAGTTTTATTTGGATTGTTTATTATTATTTCAACATGATCAGTTCGAGTAGTTGAACCAGAAATGACACTAAATATTATCTAATTTACTTATTTTTACAATTTTATGTTTCTGAATATTGTTTATTTATTATAGCTGGAATTCTGATACATCTTATGATAGTGAGACTGATAAAGAATCAAAAAGGCCTCCACCAAGCAAACCCCCTGGTGGCAGAAGAAGACTAGCCAAGACATCTAGGAAACCTAAGTCAAGAATTCGAAATAGAGCCTATTCTGATTCTTCTGAGTCAAGCTATGAGTCAGAAGATGATAATAATAAAAGGTATAGTTTCCTTGCTAACACTCATAATTAGTTTTGGTGTGTGTGAGTGTGTTCGTGCATGCTAGTGTGTGTGCAGCCTAGCTCAAAAAAGAAAAGTGGTACTATACTTAAATTATATATTTAGATATAGTCCTCAACTATTGTAACAACTTTTTCACCAAAATGGACTAACCAGATTTCTAATTGATATTATTTTGAAGTCTCTAACACTCTTGAAATTAGCTGCCCCATAAAATTCCACTCAAATTCAAGTTGTACAAGAGTATAATTTGTTTTGTTGTTACTCTATTCTTATTTCAGTGGAGGGTTATGCTTCCATTTTATCATATTTCTGTTCTCACAACTCTAAAATATTGAAGTGTTTTATATAAATAAATATAAGTATTCATTTATTAATTTTTATAATTAATATTACATCAATTCCTGTAAAATAGTTAAGGGTCTTCTGAACAAATCGCCTTCATGATCATAGATAGCTATGATAATTATTTTTAACCTAGATTTTCTTTAACACGACAAACGTGCACCATGGCCTCATTGAGGCCTATTATGTGTCATCCTATACTCTGTTAAAACAGGACAGATGCCTTATAAAACTTATTTAGACAAATAGAATCAATCATTTTGTAGTGCTTAAGGTCAGTGATACAATCATTTCTAAAGTAAAAATACCACAGTCTAGCCAAGTTATCACATTTGCGTATAATGTGATAGGCAGTTTTATCTTCCAGGCCACGAAGCCAGCAGGTAAGTGCCTCAGTTAAGCCCAGATTAAAAATGGTGCTTATTGAGTCAACAGTGACACCTATACAGTTCTGTCACACACCTGATGGTTCTCCTGTCCATTATAAGGAGTGCTGGCTGCAGTTCTCTTAGGACAGAGTCCTTCTAGGGACAACTTGGAGTATGTTTGTTTCCTAGTATGCTCCTAATATAGCTTGGTTTAATTGCCTACGTATGCCTTAATATGTCTTTTAGTATAGCTGGGGCTAACCTTGATTTTATGTTTTCAAATACTTCTTTTTTTTGTGTAGCTACCCCATTTGTGTCACAAGTTTTATTAGAAAATTTTTCTTGATTAAAAAAATCCTTAGAGATCCTAAAAATGGTCACAAGTTGTGACCTCACCCAGTATACCAAACACATAGCCTAGTAAACTCAAAAATAAGTTTTGAATTGTTATTACCTGTAGAAGTTTTATCAAGCTGAATTAAATAAAATCCATTAGGTTGGATAGGGTGGAACTGTAAATTACAAAGTATGTCTGTTAATTTCAGGACTAAATCTAGAAGAGGAGTTTCATCTGTTAGTTATAAAGAAGCTAGCGATGAAAAAACGGATTCAGATGAATTATTGGAACCTGACCCAGAACCTGTTGAACCTGTACCTCCCGATACATCTGAAACTATTGAAAAAATTCTTGCTCAAAGAATTGGCAAAAAAGGAGGTTAGTTTAAATTGCACTCTTTAAATTGAAGATGAGGTTGATATGTTTAAATTTCATCGTAATGTTCTAATTACTTCTGTTTTTCAACTTCGTTCATTACTAAATATTATCACATATTTTTATTTTCACTTACCTATATATGAAATATATTGTAAAGGAAAGTATTGCGATCGTGAAAATTTTCGAATCTGAGATTTCAACGGAAATCATGTTTTGAGGTCTCCTGTGTCCAAATAACCAAGTCCTGAAAAATGGTCTGTGTGTGTGTGTGTGTGTGTGTGTGTGTGTTAACAGTCTAGTTCAAAAGTTCAAAAATGAAAATTACGAAAGTGAAATTGCACATTAAAGGTTTTTATATGCTTGGGATGTTACAACTTTTTCATAAAAATTGGCTAACCGGAAGTGGCTCTTTATATCTTGGACTAAACACATTTTTACGATTTTCTCGAAAACGGCTCCAATGATTTTGATTAAATCCATTATATCATTGTAAAATTAAGCAGTTAATTAAAATAAAATATAGGTTTTGTTCTGATTAATGTTCTCTAACAGGGCTTAAATGGCTAATTTCAAATATTAGCTTCCTCTAAAGTACCTTTAAATTTTTTTTTGAATTTAAAGCAATTGAACATTTTACATTGATCTATAATATAAAAGATAGTTAGATATTAGATAGAAAGAATTTGATAATTAACTAAAGGAGAAATAAGAGATCTTAATGAAGAATAGTTGTAATTGAGGAACCAAAACAATACGAGCGCACCTAGCTCACCTGAAAGATTAGAACAGGCTTCCTTACGTAATATGAGCTTAATATAATACAGACTCCGACAATATTATGTAAATATATATACATATGCGGTTTTCATAAATGATATTGTTGGTATTATTTAATATTTAATTGTATAGATTACAGCGACATAAATATTAAAATTTGTATATATAAGAGTACTTATATAAATAAAAATACCCACAATTAAATATAAATAAAATAAATATACCACAATTAACAAATAAAACAATATAGCATCTATAATTTTTACTTTCACTTCCCCTTTGTCTGAAAATACTTATTTCTGCCAAGAAGATGGTGGATAGCGAAAGTTGTGTGATCATTTAAAAAAGTGCCCATTCAAAAAAGAGAATTATATAAGAGAATCAGCAACATCACTGTAAATTATATGTTTTTGATGATGAGAAGAACTTTTTCTGAAACATCCAACAAATATAATAAATTAAAAAAAAATTATAAAAGTACAATCATTAGGAAGTTATACTATATAACTTACAACCAGTAAAACAGGAAACTGCCCAACTAAACAAAAAATAAGAAGATATTTATTTTATTTAGATATTCACTCTTTCAATAGAATATTATTAATGTTTCATTGGTGTGCATGTGATATGAAAACTTACAAGTTATATGAAGTGTACTCCCCTGTCTGATACCACCATAAATTTATAACTATCGAATTACTACACACTATTTTGAGGACAGATTCCTATTCCTTTTAAATATTTAGTGGAAAATCTAATGCAGTAAACATCCTGAAATTTAATTCAGTTTTGGTGATTGTATTATTTTATATATAGTAGAACCACTGTTATCTGGAGTAACGATAGGTTTAAAGGTTCACAGTTAATCGAATCACAACAATTTACTAACTTAATGTGATAGATAAAAATATAAATTTAAAAAGGCAAAACTTCAGAAAATCACTTTTATTAACAAAAAATGATTTACATACAAAAATACATAAGAATGAATGTATGCATGTTTTTATATATGTATTGAATTTTCATATAAAGAAAAAAATAGTAACTTTAGTCTTTTTTATTAAACATTTCTTTTCTAATATCAGTTCTTATTGCCCTAGAAAGATTATTCTGCTATAATCAGCGTTCTCCTGTTCCAAATAGTTTAGTAGAATTTCTGTTGCCTCTAATGCTTGTTTGTGTTTCATTCTTTTTTAATAACTGAATCTTTGTTCTCATCACTCGAGTTTCTATAATTAAACTGCGACAAAGTCGATAGCCCTTCTTTTCTGTGGATATCTGCTATTTCGTTAATCGAATATATCTGTCAGTTGATCGAATTCTTGTTCATCCATGTCACTTTCCAGCCACTTATTTATGTCATCCCTATCAACATCTATAAAATATGGGAGAGCTTTGGCGATTTCGAGAAATGATTCTGTTTTCATTTCTTCGGAGGTTTCCTTAACAAAATCTTCTTTTTACAATATTTCCCCCTTGAAAGTTTCAATGTTGTTGTGCATAAATTTACCCAGGCTTCACACACTGAAAATATGGGTTCATTTATAGTCAATTACCCCTTGATCCATCGGCTGGATCTGGGATGTGAAGTTGGGTGGAAGATAATAAATTGAAAATTTTTCCATCTTTGGTTGCCAAAATCGACTCAGCAGAACGGGATGGAACATTGTCGAAAAATAAAACAGCTCTAAGAGATAGAACTTTCTTTTTTAACTGGTGTCGCACAGAAGGTACAAATTTGTCTTTAAACCATGAAAAAAAGATTGTTTGATTCATCCAAACTTTTGGATGGTTGTTATAGTCACAAGGAAGACTTCTTATTTCAGTTCCTTTGAACGATCAAGTTTTTTGCTTTCCCTATACAGTTAATTTTAATTTATGAACTCTTGAAGCATTTCAACCTTTCATAATTGTAAGCCATTCTTTGATAGATTCGTGACCAGGAGCATATTTTTTGGATTGAGCTGCTAAAGTTTTTGAAGGAAGCATTTTCCAAAACAATCCATGGTTGCAACATTATCACTAATAAGACTCTCCCCTTAAATGGCCAACTGCCAGTTACTGTGTCTTTTTTTGAATTTGTGGAGCCAATCTTGAAAAGCAGAGAATGGTTCATCAATTTTTAAGGTTTCATGAAACCATATTGCTTTTTCACTCACCATTGGGCCAGAAATTGTTTTTGCATGAACCATTGATAGATGGCTTCATCTGCATCTTTTTAGGTAGAGTTCTTCATTGAATTCCAATTGAAACAAAGTTGGAAAGGTCTTTTTTCTACTTCAAAATATCACTTGCAGTTTTTTGTCAATATCTGTCATTTTTTTGTAAATGTTAGTAGTAAAATGTTTTTGGAGACGAAAATAATGTGGATTTTAAGATTTTATATATCAAGATATTCATGAAAAGGTCCTCCGACAATATAATAGTATGCCCATATATCAAAGAAATTTGGTAAGCTACAAAACCTTAATAAGTCTCTGTGTAATTTAAGTATTTTCAATTGATGTTAGTATTTGCAATCAATATTATTTTCATAATTAGTGCCTTTAACGACATAATACTGGTTCAATATATAAAAGGAAATCTATTTTATTTTTAAATATAGGAAAAATAGGACTAGAAAGCCGCATTTTAAATAGTAAAAGTGAATAATTGAATGTAGAATAATTTATGAATTACCCACCTCCGATTAGTGAGGTTGCACTGTTTATGGTTTACATTTATCATTATTGAAATATGCTTTGAATAAAATAATAAGTGTTACATGATAAGCAGATTAGTTTAAGTTGTAATTACTTTATTCGTAAATCAGAACTGCGATTTTATGTTGTATGGGAAAAACCTGGAAAATAAGGGGAAAAATCTAATGCAAAAACATGGAAATGTACTGGCATTTTTTGGAGGAAAAGTGTTGGATGCCCTGGGTATGTGAAAATATCCTTATTACAGCAATGTACAATCCATTTTTGAAGAGAAAATTTACTTCATGAGAAATAAAATTATTTAATGACAAGTTATTATTGATTTCTCTGTTTGTTATTAATTTTTTCAAGAAAATTAATTTATTACCCTTAATTATTCTAGTCGTTGGTAACCAAACTACCGTATATGCAATTGAAGAGAATGGTGACCCCAATGCAAACTATGAGTCTCTGGATAAAGATCAAACTGAGGTTCAATATTTGATTAAATGGAAAGGATGGTCCCATATCCATAATACGTGGGAATCTGAACAATCATTGAAAGAACAGAAAGTAAGTATTCCAAAACTTATCACAGTTTCTTATTCTTAATTTTTTACATGAATAAGTATTTGAAGATAGGTATTTAATTTTAGATGACTTGATTGAGAGTTCTTTTTGGTATTTTGTTTCATTGGTTGATTTAAAGTAAATTATATTGAGTTAAAGACAGTGAATCGCTGATGAGCACCATTGCTATCGTTTATTTTATTTACATGTTTATATAACTTACCTTTTAACAAAAATTAATTTTAATGGGCAAACGAAATAAATCAATTGCTGTTTTGAAGAAGAAATGTTTTGAAGGATAAATATTCAAAACCCAATAATAAAAAATCTATTTTTTTTTTATATTTTTATTATTGCTGCTGGTACATTAAAAGAATACAGTCAGCATCTAAAGAAAGATCTTTTTTGTAATCAATTTGTAACTACATGCTAAACAAAATGTAAAAAATGAACAAACTTAAAAAAAAACAGGTAGATAATTTTAACTTTGTTAATGATTTTTTTTTAATCAACTGATACAAAGTTCATAAAGAATGAAGAATGAAGTTCATAAAATTTATATATTATAAACATAGAGAAATATATATTATAAACAACAATAATATTGATTTTGCTGAAGATAAATTGATATTTCATTGTTGATTGGTCGAAAAATATCTTTTCTTTATCAGTTTTCGAAAGCACTACTTTCCAAAACTTCAAAATCAATTAAAGAACATTATTTTTTATACAACCTACAATTCTAAATAAATCTAAAAATGTATTTTTTATTGATAGAAGCAAGTTTAATAAAATTAAAATTAAATATAATCATAATAATAAGTGGACATTATAATAATATCCTTTTAGTTCAATCTCATTTTTTTATCATTTATTTGTTGCAAGAAACTTTTGATGCCTTGCCCCATAATTATCTATTTCTAATCTGAATCTATTTACTTGGATGTAGTTCTCACTCGTGAGTATGACCCGGTATGGACAGAAAAGGTCCCCTCTCTTACACTAATATAGATTTTTAACAGAACAGTGTGACAATCAATCAACGATTGGAAAGAAAAATAAAATTTTGAAACAACATCCAAGTGGATAAATTCAGATTAGAAATAGATGAATATGGTACAAGGCACCAAAAGCTTCTTGTAACTAATAAATAGTAAAAGAATGAGACTGAACTAAAAGGGTATTCTTAAATGGTCCACTTATTATTGTAGTTATATTTAATTGAACTTGCCCTTGTCAATAAAAAATAAATTTTTACATTTATTATTTAGATTTAAATTTACTAAAAGAATAATATAGTCTTCCTGTTATACTTGATAAAAATAAATTAAAATTTGTGGAAAAAAAAGCACCAATTCCTATTATTGTTTCAGTTTTGTTACCTTCTTTATTTAAACTAGTATTATTGCTGATGTTTTAGATGATAAACTTCATGAAATTAATAATTTTTATTTATTTATCACATTTTTTCTAGGTTAAAGGTGTAAAGAAATTAGAAAACTTTGTGAAAAGAGAAGAAGATATCAGGTTTTGGAAAGAACACACAACTCCTGAAGATATTGAATATTATGAATGCCAATTAGAACTTCAACAAGAACTTCTTAAGAGTTATAATAGGGTTGAAAGAATCATAGGTATACAAAGTATTTCTGTTTTTTCCTATAATCTAGTTTTTAATTAGTTTATCATTTTTCTAAATTTCCAATTTGAAACTTATATTTTATTTTTAATTTTAGCTGTTTCAAAAACTGATGGTCAGGTTGAGTATTATGTTAAGTGGGAATCTTTACCCTATTCTGAAGCGACATGGGAGGACTCTGGACTGATTGAAAAAAAGTGGCCAAAAAAGATAAAGGAATTTAAAGAAAGAGAAGACTCAAAAAGAACACCTAGCAAATTATGCCGTGTTTTAAAAGCTAGACCGAAATTTATTAAAATTGAAGATCAGCCTGAATATATGGGAGGAGACCAGGTATTTAGCCTTGTTTTATTTTTAATCTAGCCTTTTTAGTTATAATTTTTTTTACTATTTTGTAATGTAAATTGGATTGCCATTTTTACTTTCACTCATCTCTATATAAAATATGTAGTTAAGGAGGAAAGTATTGCGATTGTGAAAATGTTTGAATCTCAGTTTTAAACGGAAATACACATTTTGAGATCCAATTACCAAGTCCCGCGAAATAGTATGTATGTGTGTGCGTGTGTGTGTGTGTGTGTGCGTGTGTGTGCGTGCGTGCGTGTGTGTGTGTGTGTGTGTGTGTGTGTGTATGTGTGTTAACAGTCTAGCCCAAAAACTAAAGGTCGTACGAAAGTTAAATTGCATATTCAAGGTTGTTATGTACCTGGGATGTTACATCAACTTCTTCATTAAAATTGGCTAACTGGAAGTGGCACTTAATATAATCAATTTAACACATTTTATGATTTTCTCAAAAGCAGCTCTTAATGATTTTGATTAAATTCATTATATCAGTGTAAAAATAAGCAGTTTTTAATATAATGTAGGTTTTATTCTCATTTATGTTTTTTCTAACAGGACTTAAATGGCGCTAATTTTCAATATATCTTTCTCTAAAGTACCTTTAATTTTTTTTATTTGAAATAATTAACCATTTCACATTAAACTCAAATATAAAAAAAACCGTTAAATATAAAGTATGAAAGAATTTGATAATAACTTAAATGAGAAATAAGAAATTGTAACGGAGAATAGTTGTAATTTAGGGGTCAAAGGAATACAAGTGCACCCGAAAGCTTCCATACCTAACATGAGCTTAATATAATACGGACTCTGACAATATTATGTACATATACACATGCGGTTTTCATAAATGCTATTATTTTAATTTAATTGTATAGATTACAGCGATATAAATATTAAAATTTGTATATATATGGGTACTTAAAGAAATAAAAATGCCCACAATGAACTATATATAAATAAAGCATCTATAATTTTTACTTTCACTTTCCCTTTTCTGAAAATACTTATTTCTTCTAAGCAGGGGGTGGTTAGTGAAAGTTGGGTGATGTGCGCACCTGATCTTTATTAATAATTCTATTCTGATTCTAAGGTTTCTTTAATATTTTCAATTGAAATGATGCAATGTATTATTTTGTTAAAACACAATTGATCTGTTTTGGTATTCTAAAAAAAATCTTTATTAAAACGTTTGATTTCTAAATTTGGTTTCATTTTACTTATGTCAGCATGAAGATTTGTCTATTTATATTTTTAATGATTATTCATTATTGTAGCTATTTTTCTAATCTTAAGATAAATATTTGAATCTTTTTAACACGAATACATTTTTTCTTTATTTTAGGTTTTAGTTCTTCGAGATTACCAAATCAGTGGTTTAAACTGGCTAGTTCACTCATGGTGTAAAGAAAATTCCATTATTTTGGCTGATGAAATGGGATTGGGTAAAACTATACAGGTGAGAAGTTTTAATATTTGTATGCCACCTGTGAGCTATGACTTATTTAACTGTAAATTGTAAATTGATGGTTGACTGTAGTGAATAATTGAAGAGAAAATTGGTTGGTTGGTGTGATCACTAAAAAAAAAAAAAAAATTAAAAATAAATAACTATATTTATTTTTATTTCTGCCAATGTTTTGGCCTAAAGTTCAAGCCTTCATCAGGGCTAAGAAAAAAACAGATAACAATAAGTATGAGAAACTATTAACATTAAAAGGAAAACTAATATGTAGGTGAAAAATATAGTTAAAAATTTAGGTAGAATAAACCTAAAGTAAAATAAAGTAGGGAATAAACTTTAAGTAAAGGTTAGTTAAATAAAGTAGGTAGAATAAACTTGAAAGAAATATAAAATACCGGTAACAAAGCTTTTATAGAATTTTTATTAATCAGTCACATCATTCTAAAATTTAAATTTACAGTAGTAATAAATATAGTTTAAGGAAGAATAAATAAATTAAAAACCATAGTTGTGTCATATTGATGCTATAAAAATGTATTTATTTACAAGTTCCACCTACGGGGCTAAGGCTCAATTGAAGTTTGTAATACAGTTGATCGATCTGTTTGTACAATTTAAGCCGGTAAGTTGAAAATGGTGCTTATAGTTATAATAGAAAATTCTAACATCCAATTTTGAATCTTTGATATTCTTTAATGAAATATTGATCATAGTGTCTTTAAGTTGAAAATTTCTGATGAATTAGGAATATTTCAAAATTTCTCTCTAAATTTTGCAAGGCACAAAATCATAGTTCTAAACTTTAATTTTCAATTTTCTTCTTCAATTTTCATTAGCTGTGGGATCGTTGATTTTGGCTATTTATATTTGATTTTAACCGTTTATATTTTTATTTTTAAGAGACAGTTAAATTTTAATTAAATTGAGACAATAAGGTTTTTCATTGGCAGTTTTGGTGATATCTGGGTCAGTTTGTAAAAGCATACATTTTATGCCCTTCTGTTTAAAAATTCAGTTCTAAACTGAAAAGAAAGAAGTTATCTCATTTTTGTTCATTTCCCGATTAAATTTCCATGAACAGAATAATCTAGTGATAACTAACGTTTATGTTTTAATAATTTTGAATGTTTTATGCATTTATTCCATTTTTCATATTGTGTATAGTATAATTTATGTTTGACTGTTTCAGACTATATGCAGTTTATATTATTTATTCCATACTCATCAATTATATGGACCTTTTCTTATTGTTGTGCCTTTATCTACTATGACATCATGGCAGAGGGAGTTTTCGTTATGGGCTCCAGAAATGAATGTTGTGACTTATATTGGTGATATTACTTCTCGTGATGTTGTAAGGATTTTCAGTTACTATATCTTAATGAATTACATGAATATCTAAAAACTAACAGTACTATTTGATTTTATTGTTATGATTCATAACAAGTTGTTGAGCATTTTTAAGATTTTTACTTATTATATTCATATATACATCTACAAACTTGTTAATAATATATATACATACATTCTTTTGGTCTTGATGTTTTTGTTTTATTTTTTCAGTTGCGTAATTATGAATGGTGCTATTCTGGTTCTAAAAGATTAAAGTTTAATGCTATCTTAACGACATATGAAATAGTTCTCAAAGATAAGGCCTTTTTGGGCAGCATAAGCTGGGCTATTCTTATGGTAGATGAAGCACACAGATTAAAAAATGATGATTCTTTATTATATAAAACATTAAAGGAATTTGATACTAATCATCGTCTTCTTATAACTGGCACTCCTTTACAAAATAGTCTGAAAGAGCTTTGGGCTTTGTTGCACTTCATTATGCCAAACAGGTATATTTTTAATTTTAATTTATAGTTTTATTTATGACTTGTCCCCTACCTATACAGCGAGTTAAAGTGGCTTTTGTTTCAACCACTGACAATATTTTCTCGGATAGTACTTCTATCAGACCATTAACTCCCTGCACTCTTTTACAGTCTCCTGCAATTCAAATCTTCATTCTACTCACAGGAAAATATAGGAAAGAAGGTTCTTACTTTTTGAACTTTATATTCTTTCCCAGTCAATTGAACATCCTGAAGTTCCTTTGTAGCCCTGTAGTAAATGATAAATTGTATCTACTTTAAATAATAAAAGAATTCTAAAAAACAGCTGTCAAGTACAATTTAAAATATTTAGAATAAGAATGCACAGGAATTCGCAAATAATGGTAGATTGCTGAGTAAACATTGGTTTTTAATGACCCATTCTAGGTAACATGAAGTAGTCTTGCAAATCCCCAAACATTACCACATTGGAGTGGTGAATGGGTCCGTGGTTCCAGAATCATATTAGCCTGAAACCAGAAATCTTAAAATTTTTCATGAACCGTGTAAGCCCTCTCTCCCTCCCAATTTTTAGGTTAATATTAAAAAGCATAAGCAAGACAAATATTTTATGATTTGGTTTTATTTAGATTTAATAAATATTTTAACATGTTATTTTCTTTAATACTATTTTGCTTTTGGCTTAATTTTATTTTATTTTAGATTTAATAACTGGGAAGAATTTGAAAAAGAGCATGATAATTCTGCAAATAAGGGCTATACCAAGTTGCACAGACAACTAGAACCTTATATTTTACGCCGAGTTAAAAAGGATGTTGAGAAATCATTACCAGCTAAAGTAATTTTTATACTTATATTAGTATATTTCAAAATATATATTGTATGAAGTCAAAGATATGCTGTTATAATAAACTTAAAATTTTGTTATATGTATTTAAGTGTAATGCCTTTTTTCTTTTTAAAGGTGGAACAAATTCTACGTGTTGAAATGACGTCAGTTCAAAAACAGTATTATAGATGGATATTGTCCAAAAATTATTCTGCTCTTCGAAAAGGTGTCAAAGGTTCCCCCAGTACATTTATAAATATTGTTATTGAACTAAAAAAATGCTGTAATCATGGTCATTTAATAAAACCATTGGAACATGAAGCAAAAAATGAAGACTATTTACAGGTATTTCAATTTTTTATTCTCAATAAACTCTTAAGCATTGGTTGCTTCACAGTAATTTCTTACATAAGTCGAATAAGAATATTGAATAAAAAATGACACACAAACTCTAACCAAAATGAAACTTTATTTCTTTATAAACATAGCCCAAATAACGATAATAGTGCTTAAAATTAACTTATTATTACTAAAAATTATTACTGTCTAATTTAGAGCTAAGATACTTTCATACCTCATATTAATTCGAGATCTTTCTAACTTAATATGAAAGACTTTAGGCAAATTAGCCAATAATGATTTTTAGTTATAATAAGGTTTGATAATAAACAAATGATCAAATTAAAGTTTATTAATAATAGTTTATATTCATATTTTCTGTAAAATGTCGAGTAAAAAGTTTAAAATAATGCTAACATGATGTTTCGTACTATTTATTTATTTTTTTGTTCCAGCAATTATTAAAGGGATCAGGGAAGTTACTACTGTTGGACAAGTTGCTTGTCCGCCTTAAAGAAACTGGGCATAGGGTATTAATATTTTCTCAAATGGTAAGAATGTTGGACATTCTAGCTGAATATCTTCAAATGAGACATTTTCCTTTCCAACGATTGGATGGATCAATTAAGGGCGAATTGAGAAAGCAAGCTCTTGATCATTTTAATGCAGAAAATTCACCTGATTTCTGTTTTCTATTGTCTACTCGTGCTGGTGGTTTGGGTATTAATTTAGCAACAGCTGACACTGTTATAATATTTGACTCAGATTGGAATCCACAGAATGATTTACAAGCACAAGCTAGAGCCCACAGGATTGGTCAGAAAAATCAGGTAATTTATTTTAGCTTGTTCGTTGCCTGTTTGAAAAAATAAAAAATGCATCAAATACTTTTGATCACTTTGCTGATTTTGTTTTTGTTTCTAAAGTTAGTTTGTTTTTTTCAGGTAAACATATATCGACTTGTTACTAAAAGTTCTGTTGAAGAAAATATTGTTGAGCGTGCTAAACAAAAAATGGTCTTGGATCATTTAGTTATACAGAGAATGGATACTACTGGTAGAACTGTTCTGGATAAAAAAAGTTCTTCATCAAGTGCACCTTTTAATAAAGAAGAATTAACTGCTATACTAAAGTTTGGTGCTGAAGAATTATTCAAAGATGAAGAAGATGGTGATGAAGAACCAACCGTTAGTATTTTTTTTTTTTTGTATTTTATATAGGTTGTTCAAGAATCAATTAACAAGCCCTTAAAATTCACAATTATTCAAGTATAGAAATTTTTCTTTCAGTTTCATGTTAATTTCTTACTCTTATAGAAGCTTTCAGTGCTTTGCACTATATTAATCTTAAAGAATGTGTATGTATATATCTGGTTTTAAACCATTTTTACATATATTCTATGAATTATTTTTCTTGTAATTTTTTTAAAAATTTGTTTATGGTTTATTAATTATTTAAAACCTTATAAATTATAGTAGTATTAACTTTACTTTTGTAATAGTGTGACATTGATGAAATTTTGAGAAGAGCTGAAACTAGAGATGAAGGGCCAGCTAATGTTGGTGATGAATTACTTTCAGCTTTTAAAGTTGCAAGCTTTGCTTTTGATGAAGATAAAGAAACCCAAAGCGAACCAGAACAGCAGGATGATGATACGAGAGATTGGGTTTGTTGTGATATATATATTTTTGTTTGTTCTCATTTTTTAATTAAATCAATGTAATCTTTTTATTGGCTTTGATTTTCTAGGATGAAATAATCCCTGAAACTTATAGACAAAAGGTGGAAGAAGAAGAAAGAGCTAAAGAAATGGAAGATCTTTATTTGCCGCCTAGAAGTCGGAAAACATTGCAACAGATTAATCATTCTGAAAGTGACGGTTAGTGATTAACGAAATTACTGCAGCATTTTAATTATTTATGGGTTTATATATACTTATTTATAAATCATGTTTCTAAAATGATGTTTGATTTGCTCTCTCAGATGAGGTCTTAAATCTTAAATTTCTACTGAAATTGTTTATAATATAATTGTTAGTTGCTTTATTTATTTGAATTTCGCATATAAATATATTTACTTGGTCTAACTAAATATATTTGAATACAGTTAAGCTGAATTTAGTTAGATTGTTTTATATATTTCTTTTTAATTAACACAGTAAACTCCCTCTCAACCGACTGGTATGTCCATCAGTTTTAAAAAAAAATTGAAATAGCTTATTTCTAACTCATTATGTTATGAACTTGTTTTCAACTGTTTTCATATACATCATAGTAGCCTAGTCAAACTTGGACAGAAATGGCAAATTGGGTACTTTTTGTCGTAGTTGTAAGTTTTGTTATGCCTTAATTGTTTGGGTGACTGAAAATGAATTTGAATTTTGGTTTTTCACTTATATCTAAAAAAATATTGGTTCTTTCATGAAAACAATTCTGTATAGATTTATAGTAAACAAAATTGTCTTTACGATTGTTTTGTGTTAATAGCATTTTTTTTATGATTATCCATCAAGCAACTTAAGTCTTTATTTTTTAATTGTGGCTTGATATTACTAGACCAAGCATTTCAGATCTTATGTAGATGGCATTTTAATCATAAAGCAATTCCTTTAGTGGATTCTGAACATCTTAATTAAGTCAATGTTTATTCACTTTGAGAAATATTTGAGATTCAGAGTTTTATTGCTCTTTCAAACAGAGTTTTATTGCCATTTTGTCGTTTTTAAATTATTACTTTTTTTTTAATACTTGTATGTATATGATTTTTTCATTAGCCGATGGTAAAGCTAATAAAAAGAAAAGAAAGAAAGGGGAAGAAAATGAAACAACCGAAGAAGGTAGTGATGAAGAGAAACCAAGGAAAAGAGGCCGTCCACGAGGAAATAAAGGCTCAAGCAAAGAAATTATAAAAGGTTTTAATGATGCTGAGGTAATTACGAAATAAATGTATCAAATGAGCACATGTTTTTATACTTCAAATTTTTCTTTTATTTTGGAAATTATTATAATTTTTTTTTTTAGATACGGAGATTCATTCGTAGTTATAAGAAATTCCCTGCTCCTTTGAAAAGACTAGATGCAATAGCTTGTGATGCTGAATTGCAGGAAAAACCTTTAGCTGAGCTAAAAAAGTTAGGAGAAATGTTGAAGCAAAGGTGTAAAGCTTGTTTAGGTGATCAAACAAAAGAAAACATAACTGATACTAATGAGGAGAACACTGGTTAGTTCTTATATTTATGGATATTATACCCATCATAAATTCTATTTTCATTCTATTAACTGTTGGTCAATTGATTTATACCTAGAATTGGTTTAAATGTATTAATATCTAATGAAATAACTAATAGTTAGGCGTATCTAAAAAAGCTTAAGGAATAGTGATTCTGAATCAATTAAATAATAGTATGTTTTAGAACTTGGTTATATCATATGCTATGTCAAATTTTTGAAAATAAGACTTAATCTTAATATATTTCTTGGTTTCTATAAAATAATCAAGTTTCTTGACTTATTATGTTTAAAAACTTGGAGTACTTGAGGAAATTAATGCTGGAAGGTATTTTGGATCACATCACTAATCAAAATCATTATTATTTTAAACAGTATAAATTCTCGAAAATATGTAATCAGTCAGTGAGTGGTCTTAGGAGTTATTAATAACTTAATTTTTCAGCCTTTGAAATATTTCAAGGTTGATCATAAATTGCATTATCAATACAGCAGAATCAACATAAGCTTATCAAATATATAAATAAAACTTACACCAGTACAACCCATGAATGTTCTTGGGTTGGGTTCAGTACTTTAAAGTATGTTCTATTTAAAAGCAAATGGTTGTGCAGGGAGAGTATGCTTAACTGCCAGGTTTCTTTCCCCCTTAAACAATTATTTAATTATAGTCTTCATAGAGGCTGGATGGGTCTGCTCTAGGGGTATCGATCCATGACTAATGAAACAGAATAAATAATTACCTAACATTAGCCAGGATTCGAACCCAGAACCTTGAGCTTAGGATGTCGGTGTCTATCCTGAGCTACCTTACTCCCCATATATGTACATATGCTTCATAAATTTGCAGTTACTTATAATTAATTTACTAATTAATAATTGTCCAAATGACAGATTGTTGTAATACTCAATAAATAAATTAAAAAATTAATAAATTGTTATTAATTAATATTGCCTCAGAAAGTAATATTGTGGGATATAGCCAAATATTGTGTTAAATTAAACATATGTTCAATAATTATGTGTTATTAGTTGGCTATGTTTAGCTGGATTCAAATTTTGACTTATTGCTCCGTTTGCCTAGTCTAGATTTGTTTTAATTCTTTTTAGACGATATATTGTTCTGGACTGTGTTATACTTGAAGTATATATTATTTAAGTTAAAGATGGTCAGATTACCTTTTAGTGTTTTACTATTGTTTTAAATATTAAAACAGCTCATTATTCTTGTTTTGATCTTTACCACCCTTTCTTGATTATTAGTACAGTCAACTATTTAGTTTTTAATATATTATATTTAGTATTAGTTTTTATATATTTTGTATAATATGTATTCAATAAACCCTCACATTCGTATATAAATATATTGATATGTTTTAATTTATTAATACCAGGTACTTTAGGAAGAAAGAGGGGGCGTGGACCTTCAGCGAAACTAGGTGGTGTTTCTGTTAATGCAAAGAGTTTATTAGCTTGTGAAAAAGAATTAGAACCCTTGGATATTGAAATTCCATTAGATCCAAATGAGAGGAATAAGTGGGTTCTTGATGTTCGGTAAGCTAATTATTGATTATTGTAATTAAGTTGTATTATTATAATTATCTTCATCTAACATTTAGAACTTGATGAGGCTCTTAGTGATTAAGGCCACTTACCACAGTTATTGTCATCGCTAGTCCCAATAATCCTCTTAACTCCTTGTTATATCTTATCATTGCCAGTCCTGATAATCTCCTCAACTTCTTGTTATATCTTATCTATCTCAGTCCTGCCACATTTTCCTTGATTAGACCAAATATTTTTCTTAATACTTTGTTTTTAAAAGTCTTTAGGCAGAATCCTAGAAACCTTTTAGTGGTCTTATACAACTTTATTACCAGTGTTCTTGTGACTTACTTCGCTTTGTTTGAATTAAAACTGAGCCAGTTTTACTCATTTATCAATAATTAAAATTACATATTTTATTTAATTTGTTTAGTGTTGTGATTTATTTGAAGGCTTTATTATTCATTGCCTCATCCAAAATATAAACTCTTCATTGAACTTTAATTATGGAAAAAGTCGGCTGCAAATTATTTCTCTCAGGTATTCTAAATCTGTTCAGGGTTTCCACCAATCAGGAATAAACCAGGAATTTCCTGTAAAGTTAGCACAATTAGGAATGTCATTAATAAATAGTTTTAACTTAATATCTTCCTCAAATTTTCATAAACTATGGGTTAATTCATTTTGATTTTTTTCTGATTTTAGCCCTTTATATTTTCAGTTTTAGGGCATTTAAATTAAAATTTAATTTAGCAGTTTATTTTTGTAACAGTAATTTAGAGTTCTTTCATTGGGCTTGTTAGATTAATTTTTTTTCTAGAAAACAGTTCCTTTTTCCCTTTTATTGAGTAATCAAGTTTTAAAAAGAAGTATTTACTTTTCTTCTCTTTCTAAAAATAGTTCCATTTTGTGAAAAACGTTGGCTGGTTGTGTAAATATAAATGGTAATAGATTTAAACCATGTATTGATGAGTGTTGGTGCCTCATATCAATCCTAAATTTCATCTGTCTGAGTCAACTGTAGAAGTTTTTAATTTTTTTTTTCATCAAACAAAGCATTGATTAAGTACATGTTGTTCTTTACACGACATATTGCGATTACTGCTGTTATAGACAGCCTGATATTGGTTATAGTGACCATCATTGTTAAAACCAATATGCTTTTATAACGACAATCATCTATATCGAAGGCATTTGCTTGGACTCTTCAACTCCCTTCAATAAATATATCCTGTGTAATTTTTCATTATAATTGTTTGACCTTTGTTCTTTGAATAGTGGTTCATTTGCCTATTGATCAGAAATAAATTAATAATAATAAAAATAAAAATAAATACAAGTATCATTAACCAATAATAACTATCGCCGAATTTCACTCCTTCCGGTATGTTATAAAATATTCACTTTAATCTTAACCAGTCGAATCACGGAATACGCTGAGGAAATTATCGGAGACTACCAATGCCGATTTAGACTGAATCGTTCAACTATTGATCAAATATTTTCTTTACGGCAAATATTAGAGAAAAAATTGGAATACAACGCTATTGTTCACCAGCTGTATATAGATTTTAAAAAGGCTTACGATTCTATTGACCGCCAGAAACTGTATAATATTCTAATCGAGCAGGGGATTCCAAAAAAACTAGTAAATCTAGTGAGGATGTGCTTGACGGAGACACTCAATAAAGTTAGAATCGGTAATAATCTGTCGAAAAATAAGAGGTTCGTTCGGGTTTAAAACAAGGGGATTCCCTTTCGCCTGTCCTGTTCAATTTGGCATTGGAACATGCCATTAGGGAGGTAATGCGTACCGAGAAAGGGTTGGATCTGGGTGGGACAACATCTGTGCTGGGCTATGCTGATGATCTGGTACTGTTGAGCGAAGACGTTGAAACTATAAAACTAAATACGACAATGTTAATGAAAACCAGTAAAAAACTAGGACTCGAAATAAACGTGGATAAAACAAAATATATGGTTAGCTGCAAAAATGGCGATACTACTGGTGTTATCGATATAGACGGTAATATGTTTGAACAGGTAGATAAATTTAGGTATCTAGGTTCTACGATAACTAGAAAAAACAAAATTGAAGAAGAGATTAAGGTTAGACTGAAGTCGGGAAATGCTTGTTATTTTTCTGTGACTTAAAAAATTAGAATCTATAAAACAATTATCTTGCCTATAGTTCTTTATGGATGCGAAACTTGGCCGCTTACATTAAGGGATGAGCAGCGTCTTAAGGTTTTTGAAAATAAAGTATTGCGTAGAATATTCGGACCGAAGAAAAATGAGTTAACCGTAGAGTTCAGATGGTTACACAACGCCGAATTGCGTGAACTGTATCCGGGTAGTATAATTGAGGTAATTTCAACGCGGCCAATCAATTGGGCTTGTAAAGTTGTTGGGCTTAGTAACGAGAGAATTCCTAAAAGGTTAATATTTGCTGTGCCGAATGGTAAGCGTCTGAGGGATAGACCGAAGCGAAGGTAGGAAGATTGCATTAAAGCCGATCTGAAGGGACTGGGTTTGGACGGCGAACGGTGGAGGGAGGTGTATAATAAGCGATTGGTGATGTCGGCATCGAACCTTCGGGTTCGCTAAGCCTTTTATTATTATTATTATATTATTATCATTAACCAATCCTGCTGAATTGAAATTTTGTGACTAACCCAATTTCTTGGGTGGATAATATATTGCTCAGGAGGAAGACAAAGTTTTCCTTAAAACGTTCAAATAAATTTAAAATCAAGTACTAACTTATGATTAATTTATTTCTGACCAATTGGTAAATGAACCACTATAGAATTATTTTATTAATTTTTGAGATTCTGAATGAAATATAAATGATTCTAAACTTTTGATCGGTACTGCACATCATATAATAGATACTGGTTCTGGGGAGAGAGTAGGGACTTTCTGCCCTCTCAGTATATTTTGAATGGGGATCAGCCCCACCAATATTTTGCAGTAGTTTTCTTTAATAACTCACAAAAAGTTCAATAAACTATATGGGTAATAATTATATTACACGCAATAAACTGATTATCAAACTACTCCTGTATGTGTTACATCCCCTCTCCCTCCCCATGCATAGAACTCTGTTTTCCTGTTACACTCATCTTCAATGCTGGTCTTGGGGTTGAGCGATTTGGACATATACCTGATGGGGACATTTGCCACTTATTATTGGGAATTGAAGTAACATATGAAAGTAATGAATTTTAGCTTATTAATAAAACAACTGAATCAGAGACATGTGAGAAATTCAGCCATACCCTAAATTTTGGTTTAGTTGAGTGATAACAGTTAAGTGTGAGAGTTAAAAAATGTACAATTATTAATACAGTTGTTATTTTAATTATCAAATTGAGTCAATAATTTTTCTTTCACTTTAATTATTAAAGTAGATATGTATAAATTTAAAAAGTTGTAAAGACTTCCAATTTGCATTGATTTATTATTTCAAAAATGAGTGTATGCAAAAATGCCACTAATCAGGAATTTTAGGAAAAATCCTTAAAATAGTTGGGAATTTTAATTAATGACATTGTTTGACACCATGCTGTTACATAGGACTCAACTGAGTTCCTTGAAAAAAGAAAAAGGAGGCAAATATTGAAATTCATTCAACCAAAAACAGAATTTGGATTTAAGGTACAAGCTTAATTTTACCATCCCTTCTTTTATTTACTCTCTCCAATAAAAGTCATCAGTTTTATATCTTTTTAGATACTTCAAATTAAATGTCATAATATCATAGCATAAACTCATTTTATTGACTCAATTAATGTCAAAACAATCAGGAAGTAGAAATAAATATTCTTTTTAACATAAAAATACAATGAAATTCACTGCCCTTTAAATTATTTTGTCCCGGGGCAAGAGTTCCCTTCACTTCCTCCTAGAACATGAACCCAATCTTAAATTTCTAGTTAGATGAATAAGTTTCCAACAAGATTAGTAATTCCTGATATTCTTTTTATTTTACATAGTTGGTCAAACTGACTTAATCAATTTTCTTTGGTGCTTTTTTTGGATCTTTAAATTCCTGTCTATCTCTATCATACACGTTCTGCCTTGGCAGATCATCAGTTTTATAAACCTTTACATTGCTAATGTTTTTACTCTTTTTAATCATGTATCATTGATCTCGTTCATAAATAATAGTCTCCTTTTATCCTTATTTTAAAGTGGTATGTTTATATTACTTCAATATTTTTGAACTTTTGAAAATGTTATTTATTTTATACTTAAAGGCTTCTGATTAATAATTTGTATTATAACAGAAAAGATGAATCCCAGAAAAAATATTTTGTCATTATTATATGTATATTTAAATTAATATATCATGTTACAGCCTAATGAATAAAAAAAAAATTTTTCAGGGTGAAACCAGCAAATTTTGATTGTGATTGGGATGTAAATGATGACAGTGCCTTATTACGTGGAGTTTATCAATATGGAATGGGTTCTTGGGAAGCTATAAAAATGGATCCATCAATTGGAATTAGTGACAAAATCCTTTCAAATAATGGATCAAAGCCTCAAACAAAACATCTAGCATCAAGAGCTGAATATCTACTCAAAGTTTTAAGAAAGAGTATTGATCAACGCCAAGGATCAACTGTATGTACATCTAAAAAAATATGTATTTATTATTTTTTGTTGTGGATTATAGTATATATAAATACTTTTAAGACCCTTGCATATGCTTTCAGTAATGATTTTCTCCAGGATGAGAGATAAGTCTGTTTTCATTTTAAAAGTAAATTACAATTCCAGTTAATTTTAGTGAATGGTTGTGAAATCTATAGAACAAATGCAAGCAATTGGAAAAAAAAAAAAACTTAAAACCCCACTTTTAAGTAGATTACAAGTTGCTAAAATAGTATGTACCTAAGTGATCAGATAAAGCTCTAAAAACTTGACTTTAGTTGGGTAATCTGGGCAGCGTCTGATTTATACAAAGCTGAGGAATTTGCCACACCTTTCCTCTACCTTCACTCCTCATTTCATAAGTTTTCCTCTTATATTATATTATTTTAATTACTTTCAATTTTTAGAACGTGTTGTTCTGTTGATGTAGACTTTATAAAAGTTTTCAATTTAGAAGTTGAAATATTTTCCATTTTCATTTGTAAATAATTCAATAAATTACAAAATATTTAATTAGGTGGTTGTCATGTTGAGCACATGTTCATTTGTTGTTTATAGCCTGACACAATAATCTAATTTGTATTAATTCAGGTATTATTTGGCAGTCTTAATAATTAAATTTAAGTTACATAAAAACATAATTAAGCATGTTTGTTTTTGAACTGATATTCAATTGTTATATAACGCTACATATCCATTGCTTGCATTTTTTTAATAAATAAACAATTTATACCTATTCTTATATACCTTCTTCCAATGTAATCCAATGTAAGTCTTCAATGAATTTTTTATAAGATAGCATGCAATTAAGAGGAAAATATCAATTTGTAAGTCTACCATAGCAGCTTAGCAAAGTAAAAATGATAAATAATTTTCATAAATAATCGATCGAATCTTATGCAATAAAGTTTTAAGCTGAGGCTTTGGGGATTTTAAAAAAGTTGCTTTATCTTATTACCTTCTCAACATTACCCCTATCTTAGCAAAACTAATCTGATTTTTAAGAGATATTGATTGTCAGGAGATGAGAAAATGTTGATAATTACAGCAATACGGTTATCTACTGTTTTGTTGTACAAAAATAAAAAAAAAAGTCTTAACACTAACACTATTATTTCCAACTGAAAGGAAAGAAATATTTCATGAAATAAGTGTTTTTAAAATTTATATGAATGCAGTTCAAGCCAATAAAGTTATAATAATCAATTTATGGTTCAAATGTCTACTATTTATTATATATTTTTTGATGTATTCTGTTAGGTAAAGACCAAGAGGCAAAGAAAGCGAGATACCAAAGCAACCTCGAGAGAAATAATTGAAGACAAAGATGATAGTTCTGGAGGAGAACTGCCAGCAGAAGCTGTATCAACTCCTAGTCAAGATTCTTTTAATCATAAAGATATAAAACTAGAGGAAAATGAAGAAGATAAAAAAAAAGGAAAGAAGAAAGAGGTACAAAAAAAGAAAAAGAAGAATGAATCAGGTCCAATGCATTTTACCGCTAACAGTGAGCCCAGAGCACTTGATGTACTAGGTGACCTGGAACCATCTATTTTTAATGAGGTAAGTTACTAGGATATCAGTTTATTAATTTTGTTTTTTTTTAATTCAAATTATTACGTAATGATGAATAAATAAAAGTAGAAATGATAAATGTAAAAAGGCAGTGTTCGTGTGTTTCACTTGTGTCTCCTGTATTTAGCTACTTCTCACATTTATGAAAAAGAAAAAAGGATCTCTGATTAATAAAATAAATTAAATTTATTGTTATTGTTACTCTATTTGTTATTGTCACTCTATCCATATAGTTTTTTGCCTCCTGCGTGTTTCAAACTTGCCTAGTACTCAGGCATTCATTGTTGTGTAAAGGTGTCCTAATGGATTGCTACGAGCTTCATGCCTTGCCCATCTTAACCACCTGGCCTTCATGTTATGAGATATTGATTGACCTATTTCTTTCAGCAGTTCTTTATTGTTCCTTCTCCTCCACATGTCAAGGTTCTGGTCCCATATAGGTCCTGTTATCCTACTTAGAACTTTTCTTTTGAATCTCTCAATTCTGGCTTCTAGTGTGCCGCTTAGAGCCCAGGTTTCCCAACTGTACAGTAGAACAGGCTTAATCTCGGTGTTGTACACTCTTATTTTTAGACTTCTGTAGATTTTTCTGGATTTCAGTACCCTTGAAAGAGAGAAGAAAGATCTGTTCGCACTTGTTATTCGCTGGTCTATCTCTGTTAGTTGATCATTTATTGAGGTTATTGTGGAGCCGAGGTATTTGAATCTGTCTACTTTCGGGAATGACTTACAGTCCACGCAGATCATGTTATCAGGGTGGATGTTTCGGCTAACTATCATGTATTTTGTTTTATCTACATTGACTTGTTGTCCGATTTACTCTGCTTCTTTTAACAGAATCCGAGCGAGTCTCTCAATATCCTCTTGATTACTTCCGATGACAGCTGTATCATCCGCGTATGTTAGGATTTTGTGTTTCATTCCAACGTGCGTCCCTCCATCTTTGCGTGATGTTCTTATTACTTTCTCTACTGCTGAGTTGAACAGCATCGGCGAGAGTCCATCTCCCTGCCTCAAACCCGTTTGAACTTCAAAGGCTTCAGATACATCTCCTTGTATATATATGTATATATATATATATATATATATATATATATATATATATATATATATATATATATATATATAATGTTAAATTAAATTTTTGAACGATGATGGGGTCTGCAGAAAGTACAAAAAAACACTAGGGTTTTGTACAGTGGTTTGGAAAAGTCTTTCTAAAACCCGATTTTCATATAAATGATAAATGTTTCAATTTAAAAGTGTTTTTAAATTAGCATTATTTTCAATTAACAAGCCTAGGGACCAATCTGTTGTGTTATTGGTTGTTATTTTCAGGGGTTGAATATTTTTTAAATTTCACTACTTTGTTACCCATTACAGTCTTGATTTTAACATCAAGAGTCTTTGTATAAACTCTAGAAAGCTGAATGTATCTGTAAAATTTTTTCTTATGTTGGAATTTTCCACTTTTCTGAAATTTGATTTAACTTTCCATATTTTTTAAAAATTTTCTGTTTGGTATTTATTTCATTTCAAAAAATAGCAAAATGTCCAAATTTGTTATCGTTATGCAGAAAAATAAAGTTCTGCCCAATCAGCTTAATCCCAGATGGTAAGTAAGAATGCTATGGTACCATTTTGCATCCAGTTTTCCATCTATTGACAAGAAGTCTTAAACTCCAGATCAAGAAACACCCCCAAACCATTAAAAAGCCATCTCGGTGTTTTAGTGTTGGTTGCAAACATTCATTCAAAAATTCCACTCCACATCTCTAATATACTCTCTCCTTCCAGAACCAGACATTTCAAAGTTTGACTCTTTTCTCTTTGAAAATGTGTTCCATTCTTCTCCATTCCAATTGCTGTGTTCTTTAGCAAATGTAAGTCGGCTTCCCTGGTTAAGAGTCTGAAGAAATGGTTTTCTTCTGAGAAAAAAATCTTTAAGGCCAAATAATATGAGTTTCCTTGGGTCCTTGTAGCATCAGCTATTTCCTGAACCAGTACTCTGCTAGGTTTTTAGTGATTGTACCAATGCAAATAATTTTGATTGTTGTTCAGCTGCAGCATTATGTATTTTAGATCTACATAAACGTTTCAAGTGTCAATTTTTTTTTTTTTTAATTGATTTCATAATGAATTCCAAAAATAGAATCTTCAACTTCTTTTCGGTGTTTCCTAATTGAAAGTTCTTGTTAACGCAAAATTATAATTTAATGTTGGTAAAAAATATGATATTTTGCCATTATATGAAAGAAAGAATAGTAACATTAAATAGAAAAAAAAATATTAAAAATAGGATGTTAAATTAAATTTTTGAACGAAGGCGGAAAATACCAGTATTCGAACAATTTTCGCAGATACACTCAGCTTACTAGAGTTTATACGTCTCTTGATGTTAACAATACAGAGTAAAGACTGAAGTGGATAACAAAGTACTAAAATTTAAACAATTAGGTAGCAATATTCATCCCCTGAAAGTAACGTCAACACAACGAATTGATGTTCTGGGCTTGTTGTCGATTAAAAATAATGCTAATATTGATATATATATATATCACATCTACAATGTCTGCTAGGTTATATCCTTTTGCATTGAAACATTTATTATTTTTACGAAAATTTGTCTTGTCTGTAAACTTTTTCACACCATAATTCAGCAAGCCAAATATTTATTAAAATGTCACATGTTTCAATTTAGAAGTGTTTTTATCTTCTTAATTGTGAACTGATTTAACCTAGCATTGTATATGTGATATATATATATATATATATATATATATATATATGTATGTGTGTGTGTGTGTGTGTGTGTATATATAAGATAAGTTGGTTGGGAATTGCACAAAAATTATATTTATTTTGTTTCAGCCTAGGTTTCTAGCACTCATCATTGCTAAGAAAATAATTTAACTACCTATTATTATTTTCTCAGTATTTATTTATTTTCTGGTCTTTGCTTAGCCCTGATGAAGGCATTAAACTTAGGCCAAAATGTTGACACGAACAATATAAATATAATTTTTTTTTTGTACCTCAAATGACTACAATCCCCAAACAACTTCTCTTATATGAATCAATAGTCAACGATTTCTCCACCATCATAGGATATATATATATATATATATATATATATATATATATATATATATATATATATATATATATATATATATGTATATATATGTATATGTTACTGTTCTGTGATTTTTAAAAGGTTTCATTTAGTATCTTTTTTATTTCTTTCACAAATTGTTGTTGAATTGATTATAAGTTAGTAGAATTTTGTTTTTTAAATTTTATTATATTATAGTGCAAAGAAAAGATGAGGCCAGTGAAAAAAGCTTTGAAAGCGTTAGACAATCCTGATCAGAGTCTAGGTCCTCAGGAACAAGTTAATCATACTCGTCAGTGTTTGGTACAGATTGGTGATCAAATAAATAAATGCTTAATGGAGTACAAGGATTCTGACACTATTAAACAATGGAGAAGGTATGTTGATTGTTTCTCTGATCGTTTTTTAATAAGCATGTATATTTTGTTGTAGCTCTAACTGTAAAGTCATTTTGAGATTATTTGGTGTTACGTAGTTGTTTTAGTTCAATTCCATAAATGATACTTCCTTTTTGGTTGGAAAAAAAGAGTTTAGTGCTTGATACAAACTTAAATAATGATAAATTAAAGTTACATGAATGAATATAAAGTAATTCAGCTAATTTACAACCATTTTATTAATATTTTGTGGAAATTGGTGAGAATCAATTAACTGTTCAATATAATCTTATCATTAAACAATATTTAGATTGTGTAATTCACTATTTTCTATATTTAAATAAATATGAGGTAGTTGTTAATAAGACTTTCTTCAAATCTATGATACAATTTTTTTATAAAAGCAATTTGCTGCATGGTAATATGATTGTTTTTATTTCAGTAATTTGTGGTACTTTGTTTCCAAATTTACGGAATATGATCCAAAGAAGTTGTATAAATTGTACAAGCATGCCATCAAAAATAAAAAAATTAAAACTGAAAAAGAAGAAAAGGAAAAAGAGGTAAGAAAATAGTACATAAATCAGTTAAGTGAATTATTTATGTATTTAAAGTTATGAATATCATTGTATTTTTAGGTTATAAAACCTGAAGGAAATGGTGTTAATAAAAAGCGAAAGTTAGAAGAAGAAGATAAAGAAACCACTACTTCTATTAAAAAAACCTCTTCTAGTGGAAATCGGTAAGTTTCAATCAAAGCTTCTTTCATCTTTATCTATTTTGTCCAACTGGGTATCATATTTATTCTGATAACTTTTAACTCAGACAACAAAGGGAAAATTAAAGAAAAAAAAAACTATGTGTGTTTAGGTGTGTATGGGCATTCCAACCAGCTAGTAAAAGAAATGGCACAACTAGTATATAGTATAACTCCAGAAGATGACTGAAAAGGGTCTGGATGAGGGATCTACTTAAATAATGTTTTAGTAAATAAAAGCCATGGAAGGGGTACCGCTGGGTATTACTATTCCTCATGCCTATCTAATCTTTTTTTTTTTATGACTGCCAGCACATCTGCTGATTGTCGATACTTGTAACTGACAGGTGCGGGCGGATTAATAAATGAAATTGCAAAAAAAAAATGAAAAAAAAAATGTGTGTATATATACAGATACAGGGTGTCCTGTAAGTAGAGGGGAATATTTAAAAGGTTGATAGTAGACATCAAGAAGTTCATATAAACAATAGGCCAGTTTTCAAAAGTCGACATAAACAATTGCCCAAATTCCCTGTATATAGGATTTCCCATAAGTAGAGGGAAATTTTTATAGGAGTGATAGCAGATCTCAAGAAGTTCATATAAACAATAGGCCAGTTTTCAGCAGAAAAGTAGGAAATCCAAGTTTTGTGGTTTTTTAAGTGAGTCATGTTTTTTGTTAAATTAAAAGAAATATGTAATATGTTAGTAGCTTAATTGCTATTAATTTAAGTTTTCTAATTTAAATTTATTCATTGTAAACCAGATAAAATTTAAGTTGTCTAATTTAAATAGCTTCATTGTTAACTAGATAAAATTTACTGTAAATTAATTTATTGTTTATTATTTTTAAAACCATGTAAAGATAATTTTCGAGCGGCTAAACTAAGCTAAGTTCTTATTTTGGAAAAATCATGAATTAGCGATTATTTTTTTTTTATCATCATCCTACTGTATAGCAGATACCCAACTTTTACAGAAACTTCTTCGTTTGATAAGCTTTAAATTTTTATTAATTAAGTTGAGGTTTACTAGGGAAAAAATTGAGATTGAGCTCAAGCAGTATACAGAATGATATTTTTTATCTTGTCAAGTAAACTTGTGGTGTAAACTCGTGATCAAATATCTATTAGTGATTTATATTAGTTAATTGATTATCTAACAAATATCCTCACTATTAATAAATGTACTCAAAATTTTTGAATTGTATGTTGTTATTGGTTTTAAAAAAAAATTAGTTATATTTGACTTCTAAAGATTATAAAATATGAATAGTCAACTGCTGTGATATGTAAGTATTACATGGTAGTAATGGGATCATTCAATATGGCAACTAATCCTCTAATATATAATCCCTAAATAAAGTTTTGGCAATTATTTGCAATGGGAATACTTTGTATATTTATTTATTTATTTATTTTGCCACCGCTCAAATATCTTCTCATACATAGTAAAAATATTGATGTGCTACGATGTTTTTCATTTATTTAGTACATAAAAGATGATCTTGGGAAAGATTCTGTAATAAGTATTTGTAGAAAAAGAAAGACCTTTTCAGTCTTGATAAATAATTATTTATTTCAAATTTATCCAAATTTTCATCTCTTCAGGCATAATCTGGTTTTACATGTAATTTAAAATTTTCATTCGCTTAAAGCAGTGCTGCATCCACTTGCACACATAGTCAAGATTGTGTTCTTTGTCTATATGTGCACTGCTATAAGCGAATGAAAATTTTAAATTACATGTAAAATCAGATTATCCCCTGAAGAGGCGAAAATTTGGATAAATTTGAAATAAAGCAATTATTTATCGAGACTAAAAAGACCTTTTTCTACTAACAAATTTTATTTAGTACAACAAATGAAAAGAACAGCATTTTTTTATTTCTTTTTTTAAGCAGGTGATGCTGGAAGGAAGAGGAACGGCTTACTATGATTAAATTTTTTGTATTTTAAATTTTTATAAACATGATTTTCCTCTGTTTTAGAAACTCTGAAGAAGATAAGAAAGGCAATGAAAATGACAAGAAAAATAAACCTCCTGATACCAGTTCAACCCCAAGATTGACTCCTGATATAAATCATGGGAATTCTAATGATAGGTGGACACATCAGCAGAGGTATTTAAATTTTTTTTATCAATCTTTATTGTATAATGTATTTAGTTATTTAAAATGAAGAGTTCACAGGTATTTTTGTTAATATCTACAACAATTTAGACATTCAATCTTTAAGTTGGGAAGAATTAAATATTCTTTAAAAGCAAAAACTTGCATCTATTAATAATCACTAAAAGTTTTTAATATCCATTTGCTAGATCTGTCATTTACATAAATGTTATTTTAAATTGTTTAGAATTCATTTCTAATTTGGTTGAAATAATAACTTCTCAGTTAAAAAATTAAAATGGCTTCATTCTTTCAATTTGTTTTTCTTTGCCATTTTAATATCTCTTTTCGTTGAAATACAAAATTATAGTTATATTCAGAATCATATTCTATGCTTAGATGTTAGTTACTAAAAAAAACTATCAACAATGATTGCAGTCTAATTTTTTTTTTTTATTGAAACTCTGATATATTTAAAATGATTAAGGTGTTTCTAACACTTTCTCTAATATGAAGTATCACAACTTTCAGGTTTCCATCAGGAGATGTAAAAAGAGAAAGAGAAAGATTTGATCAGTATCAAAGAAACTGTTTTCGTGATCGTGATCGAAACAGTAGATCAGATAGAAGGTATAATGATTTATTTTATTAATTTGTGTTTTAACAATAGTGATCAAAGATTCTATTGTCACTACATATATTTCATTTATTTTTTATAATGTTTATAATAATTAACCATTTTAATTATAACAGAAAGATTTAAAAATTCTTTACTTGAGTTCTTTGAATTTATCAGGTCAACAAAAATTTTTTTGGCTGTTGATAATAAAAATGTGTAATTGAGGGTTAAATCCAAAATTAATTTTAATCTATGCCATTAGAAAAATTTATGTCATCTCTCCTATTTGTTATTAAATTGTTTTATAATGAATTCCTTAGTTTTCCTTATCAAATTTTCAACATATACCCAAATATTTACCTTTATAATGTGGATTAGTCAAAATTAATTACAGCTCATTGTACCATATTTGTTTTGTTCTTTAAAAAGCCCAAGTTAACCAACATTTAAAACAGTACAGTGGGCAACTAACTCCCACAGATAAAAGGCTCTTTTATTTACCCAAAATATATTGTAGATAGTTTTCATTTATATCAGTTGGAACTTATAACACTCTTTTACCTATGTTCTTGTGCGGAATTTGTTTCCTGTTATCCAGTTGTGGGTAGGTGCTTAAGTTTTCCATATTTTGTCATTTACATTTAATTTTAGCCACTTTGTGATGTGTCTCATTATCTTGGCTATTGAGCAAATATAATTTTTCTGAAGCTTTCTGGTTTAGTTAATTTAAGATGAATGAGTCTTATTAAAAATAATTTTTAATTCTTTTATTAATGTCCCTGAATGTTTATTTATTCTTTCAGAGACAAGTATGGTGATAGATTTAGAGGTGGTCCTGGTGGAAATTACAGTGGAGGTCCATATCCTCCTGCTTATGGCTATGAAGGTTCTGGTCATGTTTACCCAAGAGATAGATACCCTCCTCCTTCAGGAGGGTTTCATGATTGGAGAAGGGATGGAAAAGATTACAGAAGAGATAGGTATCCTCATTCCACAAACTCATAATTATTTTTGTATTACTTCGTTTTGTTAATTGTTATTTTTTTCTACTTTTTATGCTCTTGTTTTCAGTTTATTGTATGTATAAAATCTACAGATATTTATTTACAATACTTAATTTTCATAATATTGGACCAATATTAGTTTAACATTTGTTTTCTCTTCATTTTCATGTGTACATATGTAAATTTTTGTAAAAATATTGTATCTTATGTACATATAACTTATACATAATATATTTTATATGTATCAATATGTGTTAAAGAAAAGTTATTTGAGTAACTTAATTTTTTTTTAATAATTGAAATTTTTTTAATGATAATTTTTATCAGTATGAAATAGTGGAAAGTATAATCGAATCAATCTCATTGCTATTTCTTTTCTGTTGAAGAGTAAATTTATTTTATATATATATTTTAAGGAAAAGAAGTTATTTGATGTTATGATTTCAATAGTTTCAATTATCATTAATTAGATAATTTGTTTTTATTTTTTAATCAAACTTGTTCCGATACATATATTAATATTTCAAGTGATTTTTGATGTATGTTTGTTAATCTATTTTTAAAAAGATATAATTATTTATTTCCAATATTTGACTTCATTTGTCCAAAAATAATTAGAGGTATTTAGATATATGATAATAATTGATATTTCTAAGATATGAATACTTAATTTGTAGGAAGCATTCTTTATATAATTATTTCTAAATATTACTGCTGTAACATATATCATTTTGTAAGATTTTTTAAACTGCATTATTTTAAAAGAAATTCCTCATTGTTAAACAAAATTAATCAAAAGGAAATAGTCAACATAATTGTATGAATTATATAGTTTGGTTTTCTTACTATATGTAATTTTCCTAAGGAAAATACTACTGTTGTTATAATTTGTTTTGTTTTACATTGAAAAAACTGCTTAAGTTATGTTATTCATTTATTTTATTACTGTATAACTTTTTTTTTCACATTTATTCACTACCTCTTTTGGTGGAGATATCAAATATTTGTATTGCTTATGAAAACTATTGGACTTACACAGACATATTTATTGCATGTGTATATAACTTTGTGTATATATGTATGTTTGTGTATATATATCGTAATGTATGTATGTTAATACATATATATATATATCACCATTCATATTTATGTAAATTAAATATTTTAAGTGTTTTAAAAGATGTACCTTATTGAAGTTTACACCAGGCTTCATACTTATTTCTTAATTTACTTTAAATAATATAAAGCTTTAACAAATTCAATTATGTAGCCAGTCACACCAGGCCTAGCTTTTTTTCCGTACCAATGTAGTTTAAAGTAATGAACTTTTATAAAGTAAACTTTCTGTGATATCAAGTCAAGGAAAAATGTTGGTCTTGCTGTTGAAAATTCTCATAATGTTGCTTAAATTGAATTTGTTAAATTTTTCTATTCCTTTTAAGTTCTATTTGTAAAATATTGTATAGTTTTATTAATGCTCTTGTAAGTATTTGTACATATCTAGTTATATTGTACACTTGTATAGTACGGCATTTGGAACTGCACACTTATTTTAGGATTGTTTATAATCTGAGCAGTTGGACTAGGCTATTTGTATTGTTCACTTGATATTGTATATATTATGTTAATAAAAAATGTATCTTATCCCATGATTCCTCAATGTTTCATTGCTCAGGTGAGCTTTCTTTTTAAAATGTGATAACGATTTCTTTTTTTATTGATTCAATTACTTAAAGAAAGGGAAATAAAAGTTTATTTTCATTGAAGCAATAATTTAAACCTATACCGCAATAGAATAAAATGCGACCTCGTCTGGTACATAATTGTACTTACTTAGTAAAATGTGCTTAGTGCAGTTTATATTTTTAAATATAAGTCATGTTTTTAAAATAAAATGTTGTTTCAATTTACCATTCTAGTATGATTTTCAAATTATTGGGTGTAAAAAGTAACGTGTTGTAATATTTTTTTTTATTTAAATCAATACATTTTAGGAGGATTTTAATTTGGTCTGGCTTAATTTTTATTTTTATATAGAGTTTTCAACGAACTGTATGAAAATGTATATAATGATTTGTTTTTTCTAGTGGAAATTGTTACGAATGAATGACTTTATATTTTATAAACATTCATTATATTATGTGATAATATCAAGATAAATAAATACAATACTATGCATATATATATATATATATATATATATATATATATATATATATATATATATATATATCGTGTATTTATTCATTTGTTTATACATCTTTAAATATATGTGATTTTTTAAAGATTTATTTTTAATGTAAATAAACTTGTGAGTTCCTTAGATTGATAAATAAATTTCAGCTAATTATATTTTGTGTATACACATGTTCCTTACTCATTTTAATCGATTCTGGCTCCATTTCTTTGTGTGAAATTTTGGTGCCCTGGGAGAGAAAAAATAAATAAATTGTACACTTTTGTTAAGTGTTTCATAAATACAGAGTGTATGGCGTACAAGAATTTTCTGGAAACCAGGAAATGTACAGAAGTCTTTTATTAATTTCATGGGGAAAAATGTATTGATTATTATTATTCTTTATTATTTTTTTGTCATCGTTATATAGTATTGATATATATTATGAGAGATATGAAAAAGGAGCAAAAAAAAAATATATATATATATATATACGTATAAAATGAAATAATGTAAGTATAATTAAGTGCTATGTCCAGAAAGGCTTGATGGATATGCAATGTATTGAGCAACCCTATGTAGCAGAGCAGCACTGCTTTTAATAATACATTTTTCTCTTCTTTAGTCTGTGCTCTCATTGTGAATATATAAATTTTTTAAAGTTTTTTTTCCATCGTATATAATCATATACGTATTCGGAAGCTATTCGTTCATTTTGATTGTTCTTCAGCAATTGAAAACAAAAGAGAAATGGGCCAGCAACTGCAAATAATATATTACTTGATTAAATGTACAACAAATATAATGTATTAAAAAATAAACTGCAATCATAAAGAAGTAAGGTGATAAACTTTAACCAATAAACATTGGTTATACACCAATTAATACAAGATAAATGAATGGATAAAGCTTTTTATTACAAAACTTGACAGATTTTTTTTACTTGTTACTGCAATATTTTTTAAATATTCATACAATATTTACATTTTTTGTTTATCTGTGGTCTGTTTATTTATGTAGGCCCTCCCCTTATTGAGAAATACAAGATAAATTAACCATATTTCTAAATTTGATGGGAAAAATTTACAATTTTTCGAAGTTTAACCAAAGTAGTATGAAGTTGTCAAGGTATTCTTTAGTTTATACAGTTATCTGAAGGCCTTGACAGAGCATGTTCAAATTAAGGTAATATGACTTTGTGGATGAAGGAAGAGGCTAAGACAGGATGACCTCAGCTGATGAAATCACTCTTGGTCTGCAGGATAAGGGATGAACCTTAACACTGCAGGAACAGAAACCACAAACTGAGGGATGAGCCTCCTGACTTTGTGGGAGGATGAAATACTAATGGAGGGATGAACCTCCTTACTTGAGTATATAGGAGTACAAGCAACGGATGAGGATCCAGACCTTGTATGGAAAGAGTAAAGGAGCACAGTGAAAAATAAGGCCGTTTGATGTAGAACCAAAATGCATATATAGAATATACTAATCAAACTGCTGGGAAGGACGGAGACCCGAGGACCTGGCTTTCCGTATTTCTGACTGCGCTCTTTATTCCACCATAACTAACTTGGCTAGCAAGAGCTGTTACAGTTTCTGTTATTTAAAAGCTTTCATCAGTATATCTTATGCCATTAAACTTCATTAATAAAAAGTATTCACTTATTTACAATTTAGAAGTTGGGTATTATTCAATACAATAATGAGAAATAATATACAATTTTGGATACAATGAGTGAGCGGGCAGGTAGGTAGGTAGTGGGATGGTGAAATACTTTCTGGTGTATGGTGGCAGATGACTAATTGTCCTCTGTAGGCTTGATGGCCTGCAGGAACAGGCTGCCACTATGTTAACCTTTGTACTTCTGTGCTAGTGTCTTTAATTTTTTAACTAATCACAATGGAAACAAATTCTTGAGGAGCCTTTCTTTTTTTTTTTTTTTTACTTTGAAACCATACATTTTTAATTTAAAAATATATGTATATATCAAGAATGTTAGAGTATTATGTTTATCTGTTACCATAACCCTCTCATCCTTTTATGTTTAGTGTAAAGAACGTTGCCAAAGATCAATTTGCAGTATTATCTTTGTTTTATTTTTATTTTAGGTTTTCCTTGTTTTTAAGAAAACCAATGTGACACTCATTATTAGCAATTATACTATGTAATAACAGAAAAAACATATTTTATTTAATTATTTTTATTACTGTTAGGTTTATTTTATTTTTTTAACCCATGCCTTCTCCACTGAGTGTGGAGACTTAACTTACACAAGTTTGGCTATCATTTTTATTATTTCCTACCCAGCCTTTTCTGTGAAACATTTCTTGGCTTTTCGTTTTTCCTGAATATGTATTACTTCCTTACCTGTTTTCCTTTGTTTTAATCCTATCTTTAATAATTCTCAATGTTGATCAACCGTGAGACCCTCTGATGGAGATTAAGAGATCTAATTTAATCTTCAACTTAATTTTAAAGGTTTCTTTATCACATGATCCACTATTTTGTTGATTCCTTTCAGGCTGTGATAGAATTTGATTCTGTCAGAATTAATCCAAATCCCAGTCCATCCCATGATAGTTTCTCATGACCTGATGGGATGTCTTATATACAACATACCTGGCCAATATGGCTTTTAGTACCTTAAGGGTTTTTAAGATTGTAAATATATTTTAAAGAGAACGTTATTTGTGCACATTTTTACATAACTAGTCAGGTTGTGAATTTTTATTTTTATTTTGAGGTAGTACAAATTAAGGAATAATAAAGATTTTCAATTTTTTTCATTATTCATTTTTAAATAATGGATTTTTGATGAAAAGTAAAGTTTTCTATCGACTATTCAAAATATTTTTGGTTATCAGGAAGATCAACAGTTTCAGGGCTGGTTTGACACACTGAGAATGTGAAAAACTGTGCCTATAATATAATGGTGCAAAGAAGAACAAGAGCTTCAGTGGAAGACGATCGCACTGAGAGAATAGAAGAGACTCCACCCCCAAAAAAATGAGAATTCAAAAATGGGGAACTTTGAGAGGCTAAAAATCTAAGAGGCAGTAATGAAAGCAGGAAGCTCTTTAAGAAAATAAATGAAAGTCGAAATCCCTTCAAGCCCAGAAACACTGCCTGCCGTGACAAAGTTAAGAATCTGTTATTGGAAAGGGAACAAGTCTTAAAGGGATGGGAGGAATATTTCAAAGAAGCTCTCAATCTTAGGGAGCTCAATGAGTGAAGCTCCAATTACTACCTTTATGATGGTTACGAAGATATAGATCTGTCTGATAATGAGGGATTTGCACATCCTTTACATAGTCTTAGGAACAATAAGGCTCGTGGAATTGATGGCTTATTTAAGGCATCCACAAATCAGTGCTGCAAAATTAATAATTAGCATCTGGCAGGTAGAAAAGATACCAGATGATGATGGCATAAATCATCATGTCCCATTCATAAAAAAGGGGGACAAACTGGAAAGCTCAACCTACAGAGGTATCTTCCTTCTTCTGGTAGCTAATAAAATACATTGTAATATTTTATATCAAAGGATAATCTCCGAAAAAAGTTCATAATTAGATAATTAAAAAAGGTCAGGAATATCTATTCACTACGCATTATCTATTTGTGGATTTTAACAGTGCATATGATGGTATCAAGAGAGAAGAATTATACCAGGCGAACTTGGAACACCAAGGAAACTTGTACGAATGTGCCGCGCTACAATAATGGTTGGTGGAAGGTGTATTGTAAGAATACAAAATTAATGTTCCTAGCAATTTAAATCAGAGGCTGGAGTACAGCGGAAGATGCACTTACATATCTTCACTTTACCATCAGGCTGGAGAGAGCTGTAAAGGATTCTGCGATTCAGACTTAACGATTATCAACAGGACTGTTCAAATTCTCAGATATGCCGACGACCTCGACATAATTGAAAGGTATCAGAGGACGTTGAATTGAAAGGAAAAGGCGTTACCTGCATTCGAATGCGCTGCAAAGCAAATTGGACTCATCATAAATACTATCAAAACAAAGTATATGGTCACAGGACGGCTCGGACAACGGGGAGAAGCAGGGGTGCTCATACCCCCTCTCCCCAAGGCCGATGGTGCATAAACATTCCCCCCACCCCTCCCAAGATATTTTATTCCTCTCTTCTTCTTAAAAACAGTGCAAACGAAAGTAGAATTTAAATATTCGTATATTATATACAATTACACATCCTGCGGTCTGTTACCTGCTTCCACTAGCCTTTTATTTTTAAAAAGTCAAAAAGTGCCTCCCTGATAAATTTTGGTAATCATGAAACCCTAAGTGGCAACATCTTGTCCAGAAAAACTAAACTTCTGCTCACCAAAGTTATTATTAGACCAGTCCTATACTATTTATTAGAAACATCAACATTGAGCAAGAAGTAGGAGTTTATTAATATTTATCAAAGTTTATAATATTATTTTATAATAATATCAATATGTACTCTGCCTAAGCCGGCCCCTAGCCCAGTTGGAAAAAGAGGAGGGTTGAGGGCGGGGATGGCCTCCCACTCTTGTCAAACATTTTGCCACGAAACCTACTAACATCTACTATGATCTCGGGAAAGATCAATAGTAATATACCCGGGAGGGTTCCCCAACCAATGCCTGAAGTAGTAATTAATAGAAGGGCTCTAAATAGACAACGAATGAGGCACAATAAGGACAACAATTTGCGTCTAGGAACTTGGAATATTAGAAGTCTACTCCTAGCAGGCGCGAGCAGAGGCCTGTAGAAGGAATTGGAAAAGTACAATGTAGACATCGTGGCTCTGCAAGAAATCAGGTGGAAGGATATGGAGATGGCCGAACTTCGGAAATACATCCTCATCAACAGCGGTAAAAGGCAGAATACCTTTGGTACAGGTTTTATGATAAAAAAAAGAGCCTAAAGTACACACTAATAGATTACCAGTGTATAAATGAACTCATAGTCAAATAAGACTTATAGGAAAGTTCTTTAATATCAGTGTAATAAGTGTACAAGCACCGACTGAGGAAAAAGATGAGCACCTACTTCAAACACAAAGAATCCCACAAGAAAACATGGTGTTCGGGTTAGGGTCAATATATAACTATCCGTTATAAAGTTAAGTATTCTGAAATTGAAACTCACATTTATTTCAACACAAACTTTACAAAG